TGACAGCGGCGTGCAGCGCATGAAGAACGCTGTGTGGGTTGACCTTGTCAACGCCATCCTGTGGTTCCTGACCTTCGTCGGCGCCGCCGCCTACTGGTACAGCCACCGCGAGAGGCACACCCGCTTCACCGGCCGCGCCAGGGTCTAGGGGCCTGAATAGATTTGGTTTCAGACGTGGCAGCGGAGTCTCGGTGACACGCAAGATGAGGAGCGGCCGTTCGGCACGCCGCCCCCTGAGCACCGTGATAGCTGGGATCGGGCTGTCCGCCATCGCGCGAGGGCCGCCGAGGTGGAGCGGGAAATGAGGCGGGCCGGGGTGAACCCTCTCGGCCTCAAGCACCGACCTCCCATCCTCGGCTCGGCCTTTGGTTGAGAGTCTTTGTTTCTAGGTGTTAGCAGGCAAAGGGGAGATGATAGCGATGCTCTTTGATGATTGATACACACCCTTAGTTCGCGGGATGAGCGTTTGATTTCTTCTCTCTGCAAAGATATCCAGATACCACCTGACGTATTAATTCTTCTTTCCTTTTTTCCACATCAATGTGCCGAGCTGCATGTGAGTGCAGGGTGTGTTGTGCCTCTATGGCCGGGCATCTTGCTCGTGATTGCTCAGCAATTGATAACTGCATGATACAGAATTCAGACACGACCCGGCCTGAGAGGATTCTTAATGCATGAGCATATTGCCCACTCAGGCCACTTCAATATTCAGACTGGCTTCCACCCTGCAGACATGGCAACCCGCCGAAACCAGCATCCTGCCTGCCAGCTTGAGCAGCAACGGTATGTTCCTGTTTTCCACGAAGTGCGATGGCAAAGATCCCATCCTGGCCGTCGGTCAGCGCGAAGCTTGTGAAAGGATCATCGCTCAATTTTCTTTTGCCCAAATGTATCTATTGATCGACACGAAACTCTGACAGACACGAAGCTTCCGTCAATCCTGGTCCAATTGCGCGTGGTGAGCAGGGTGCCAGGGGCGCCGCGGACCGCCATCGCTGCAGTGCAGCATGGACCGCTGTCTATTCCATCTGCCGGACGATGAGAGAGAAGATCTTTACTTGCTTGGACAACAGGCGAACCTGCAACTTCTGATCAACATTCTCCAGGGGCCCCCAAAATATTCCTGCCCAATACTGCCTCATTTTGCAAACCTGTCAACGATGCTGCTGCCAGGCACATCGCATGACGTCACTGCACAGACTGTCCCGTTCAGTGAGTCCCCATGGCTCCTCTTTGCATGCGCCCAACCGTGAAAGCTTTTACGAGGACCTGGGGAGGAGAACGGCGACCCCCACATGTTTGTGACGACCCCATGCTCGCGGTGGTATATCCGCTGTCACTTCTCACCTTTTTCCGTTGGCCTCTGAAGGATCAACTTCGGCACTTGGTGTGCCTTTCTTCGCTGAAGAAAGGGCTCCGTTGCGAGACACGGCTGAGATAACCGAGCATAGTCGCGTCCTTTACGGTTTGGTTGGGTGGAAGGAAGGCGATCCGAGACCCAAATTCCTGCCGCGTGGACACGAGAAAGGAGAGGATGCGACAGAAGGACGGAAAGAAAAAAGAATTGGGCCCCATCCAGAGACTGGAAGTGTGACTCCGGAGGTTCGACGCCTGATACCCACGGTGAACACATCTTGGCGGGCGGAAAGGGCATCCCATGTCTCTGCAGCCAACATCGAAATGACAGAGCGCACGCGATCTGCGCTGAAACAAAACGGGTCCTGTGTTGTGTATACAGTACTGTACTTGCCTGGCAAGACTGGCCTCACGAGAAATAAACCCACCGCATGGCGCGGCCGAGGGAAAGATGGGGCCCGAAAGCCTCATGTTTTTGTTTTTGTCCTGGAGCAGCAACGACACCCAGCCGATGGGCGGCAGGCAGGCGGTAGGCGGCCGTTTCTCCACCACGGTGGATGTCCGCATAACCGGTCGGCCTGTCGGTCGGTCGGCCGGTGTCCTGGGCGCCTTGCTTTTCCTCCTCCCTCAGAGACTCACTCTCTGTTTCCACCCTTTCTCTTCGCTTATGTGGACCTAGTACGGCCTCCTCGCTGCCCTCTATTCCGACGAGTCTCGGATTCTGCTTGCGGCGCCTTGTCTTGGAGTTTTGTTCTCAGGTTCGTTCAGCCCCTCCCCTGTCACCATGGCCACACGTTCCAAAACTAGTCTGATTTGTTCGGCGGGCAAAAGACGGAAATGCCCTCGAGATATGGTAGGGTTGCGGTGGCTTGGTGTGGGTAACGCACAGGGCGGCCGTTCCCAACAGAGCAAGCCGTGGAGCTGATAGGAGATGGTGAAGGATCGGCCTGCTGGGCGTCCCGCTAGCATCGACAATCATGCCATCCCTTGACCCTTCAGGGTCCTCCTGGCCCATCGGGTAGGTGCTCCATCGCACTCCCACCCATGTCAGTGGCGCCTGTGTGTCTTACTTCGGCTCCGGTGCCAAGAAAATCCTTGTAAGCGCCAGCAAGGTCGCCCGTCATTCCAACCCTTTGGGACCTTCTTGGTCAAGCAACATTTTTGGGATTTGTTTCTGATGGATGACTTCAAGGGTTGAGGCCTCGTTGGCGCGCCCGGCCGACTTGTTGGTCATTTTCTAGAAGGGTTCCCATCTGGGCAGGGAGCAAGGGCAGTCGTCGAGCAATAGTCCAGCCTGGTTGTTTCAAGTTCCGTCGGGTACCTAGCGCGCACCAGGAGTGATGATGGAAAGGTGACGTGCCGATCTCTCTTTGGAAACTGCCGTCGCTCATTGCACTGTTCTGGTAAAGATGTGCTGCTCGTTAGCGCGTGGAGCATGGGAACAGGACGTGCAAGCCTGGCAGTGTGTGTGTGGCTCACAAGGGCTCAGCAGAAGGGAAGGGGTCTTAATAACGCATCTTTGAGCCTCCATTAACTGCGTTCGCAAGTGGGAAGATCCTCCAGGAAAAGTCAACGACTGGCCCTGGTGACGACCACAAGCAGCGCAGGTGGTCTGCCGTTGGCGTAGGACTGCTTCAGACATCTCCTCGGGGAACTCGCAGGTGGCCATCCGCAGCAATTATGTCTCAGAACTTTTTGGCGTGCGCTGAGGCGTTGTACATGGCCCGAAGGAGGCACCCGCATTGCATCTGCGGTCCGCGGTAGCGTTAGAATTCTCCCCATCTCCTACGCCTTCAGTTGAGGAGGGGGTTGATCGTTTACCGTTGCATCTGTACATTTTGCCGCTGACGATGATGGCCACCACGAGATGAGCATAAGGCTTCGAGTAGAGCTCATGTTATAATCAGTCGAGGGCCAATGTCTGCCGCGGGTGATGGCACCAGCGATTGCCTCCTCTTGATGTTCAAAATAAGCTCGGTGCAGTCCCCACTGTTCTCGTAACATGATCGGATGTGTTTTGAAGCTCTCCTCATCGTCTTAGTCAGGCACACAGACAGCCATCATCCCTCACTGCTCATCCTCTAGTGCCTATGCCGGGCCTGACTTGTGTGTTGGCCAAATCGACTCAGTTCAGTTGAGTCTTTTCTTGCTGAAGATCAGGTCCTGTGGCTTGCTTTATTGGAAAGTTTTGAAAGCACTCGTGAGCGTTCAAGTACTGAGACACCAAAGGACGGTGCCTAGATACATGTTAGCATCAGGGACGACCCACAGATGTAAGTGGGAAGGAGGGGACAGGTGATTGTCGGTACGTACCTCACCCCCATATTTATTGGGTGGTGACTTCTCCTCTCATCGTCCTGCCCAGCTTCCCACCCGTAGCGGTACCCACCGAGACAGCACCGTGTCGGTACAAGTACTGATTCAGTCCAAGGCTGCACTTTTCTCTCGACCCTCGCATGCGAATCAAAACCTTCGACCACAACTTTCACCATCGACCACAATCACATCAGGAAAGTGAATACCCACTGCACATTCAAAATCTTCCGAGATACGACCCATATCTACGGGACCTCTGCGGATAATAAACGGGTCTGGGTCACAGCGGGCCGAATCGAAGATCTCTTGTGAACCACCAGGACCACCACTCGCGCCTGTTTTTCGATTTGAGGGCTGAAGACTGAAGCCCAGCAGCCCAGCACCGCGCCCCGATCATCTTCGCCGCGCCCCGGCCGCCCACAGTCTCTTCTGTTACTCCGCGTGCCTCTCCTCTCGACTGGACCTTGGCGACGATCCAACCCCAAGTCGCGGCTCGCATATCCTACCCTGGATCTTGTGTGGGAATAGTTATCCGCCATCTGTCAGCCTCGCGCATTGGGACATGACGAAGACCAGCTGGTCAGGCGACTCCAAGAAGACTTCCTCGACGTGTACGCTGCTTAGCTCCGAAGTCTCGGCCGAACTGTGACTCCTGGCCCAGATTGCAGATATCAAATTGCTGAAGAGCGGCACTTCTCCACCCGGTAAGCGGTCTGCCTGCCTTTTCACTACCCAACCTCATGTCACTCTCAACTGGGGAGCGTCTATGCTTCGGTGGCAAAGCATACCACGAAGCAAGAGAGATCGTCCGACCTATCTTTTGGTCAGCAAATTCGCAGTCCAAACAACGGCGACGTTGGTGCTTGTCCAGGCCGTCCAAGGAACGGTCACCGGTCAACTGTGACCCCGACCAGGCCAATCGTCGATTGGAGCAGCGGTTTTCGGAATATCACCGATGTTGATAGCGGCTGAAGCTTAAATTGAGCTCCACAGCACGAACACTGTCGCCCTCTGCTACCGTGGGATTGTGGCAGGACGGCACGTGCAGCTCTGCAACACTACAGCGGTCCCCAGACTCTTGAACAAACTCTATTCCGTGTCCCTCCCCCCGGCGCCGCTCTTCCGGCGCATTGATCGCATCGCTTTCACATCGGGCAAGATCGAAACTCAAACAGATCGAGATAGGCTAACCCCAATCAATCTGCAGCGTTCAGAACAATATCCGGGAGACAGGAACAGCCCGTCTGCCGCGTTTGGACGAGGTCAAGGAGACCACTTGGACGAACCATATCTGGATATTTCGGCAGATAGAATCATCCTTCGCCACAATGTCGGACATAAACCAGGCTGGTCGCCCACCGGCCATGAAACCATTTTCCTACACGTCCCACACGGCCCAGGGACAGAGACCACACAGACGGACCGGTTCGAACTCGTCAGCATCCTCTGCCGCATCGGCCGCCAGCGCCAAAAGCCACGAGCAGTTCGTCTTCTCGCCCCACCAGACTCCTGCCTCTGAGAAGGAGCCGTTCTTCTCGCACCAGGAGTACTCGGGCTCCCAGTACCCTCAGACACACAGTAAGTTGCAAGCCCATTCCTTTGGAGTCATAGTGAGTTGTTGTCTTCCAATGTCTTGTACCGGGCACGATTTCGGGCCAGAGGAGGTTGGATTTGGGCGGTCGCTTCACGGCAGGATTACCGCGCCTGCCATTACAAGCGCCGTCACCATGATGGTCTTCCGGCGTGGGCACTGAGAACCATTGGTCCGACTGCATCGGCTCCTTCGTACAACTGTCGAGCGGTGGGACTTGGCCCAACCACATTCGTGGCGTGCGTTGTAGCGGCATGGCGGGTCTGGCACCGGCAGGCTATGGCGAAGTTTCACTCTCCTGTGGTCGCACGCGTGCCAGCGGCATCACATGAAGATCACCACCACCGCACCAATGCAGTCAGGGTCCTGAGCTATGTGCTGGCCATATCTTCGTCACAATACAACGGCGATTCAGGGTAGTGCCCTCGTGAGCTCCACTACCATTTCGGGGTCACCTTGGTAGTGCGCCATTCCCGCTCAAGGGTGTTTCGGGAGGCTGGTCCCGCACTGCTCCCGTGGCAGGACAGGGGATCGTGGACTTCCGCGGCAAGGGCGTCAGCAACAACTGCTATCGCATTGGGGCCCATGCGGTCCAACCGGCAACTGGCCTGCAGGACGTCATCACAAAACAAACTCCGCCCAGCGACGCCCACACTCGCGCCATCCGATGACCAAAATCCTTCATGCACACTACCTTTATGCATACCAAAACGCTTCATGCACCTGGAGCAATAACAACTGGCTGACGCACCCTTTTTCTTTTCCACATAGATATTTCTTCTCGCCCTTCTCACAACACATCAACTTCACACTTCTCCGAATCGACGAATTCCAGCACTCCACAAAGCAGACCTATTGTAATCGAATTACCTTCCTCTGTGTCGAAAAGGACCAAGACCAGCTCTACCTACACACCAATTCCGCCACTTTCTGCGCGAGGTGATATCTCAGGGTACGTTCTCCACAACACATCTTCCCCCGCCTGCGGCTCCACGAGTCGTAGAGGAGGCGTGGATGTGCGGCACGGGACGACAATGAGGGGTTGACACTGACGATCACTTGTACATGCAGCGGCTACTTTCCTTTCCACGAAGATCCCGAAGAGCGCATCCACCGACCCCATCCATTCCACACCGCTGAAAAAGAGGCGCGACGAGACTGCGACGTCGAGAGCCTTGCACGAAGCTTTCAAGGCACCAAAATTGATCCTCCGTTGCCTGTCCCAGATCGTCGTGCTTCCATACCGTCGGCCCCTTTCTCCGCACCACCTGGGGAGTATCCTATGCTGCATGCTGTCGAGATGCCTTCGTCGCGGAGCCACACACCTGTCACCTCATACGTCCCGAGCGGATTGCACGAGGCGCCCATGCCTGTCGGCAAATACTATCCTTCGAATTACGAGCAGCGACAGAAGAAGTCCCATCACACGTCAAGAAGTGATATGCGACCGATCTCTGCCGGCGGTCCTTCGTCCGTGAAGTCCGACACTGTTGTGCCACAGCTCAATAGAACAGACGCACGTGGGCGTCCCGACTCGGAGGCCAAGACTCGGTTATTGCAGTACCAGCGCGATATGATCACACAAGCGCAGCTCGCCAAACAGCGCTTGGAAGACGGAGGTTCCTCCACAAACTTGGCCGCGGCGGGTCTTCATGGTGCCTCTCTGCACAAGTTACAGAAGATCAACTCACGAGGGCCCAGATCGCCACGGCTGCAGCCGCTTGGAAGCCCCGGACCGGTGACACCCCTGGCTTTAGAAGGGGCTGATGGGTACCTTTCGGCTCGGAGTAGGGCCAGTCCTCGAGACAGGCCAAGGCCAGTGCTGAGTCCGGATGCGGGAAGAGAGAGTCACGCAATCGCGAAGGCAATGAAGGCCCATGACGAGCGGAGACGCAGGGAGGGCCGGGGGTCACCAGCTGTCGAGGCTGGTGGATTTGGATTTTGAAGCTTACGCTTGATCCTGAGGCTTCGAGCATTTCGCGGATCCATTTACCACCGTGCACTGCATCCGGACGGTGCTGGTCCTAGCCGGGCCGGATCGGACGATATCCGGCGAACATTACACTCTTGCGTCGCCATCACATCATACCATCTCTGGTACGGTGCCAGAAAGAAGTCCATTTCTCAGCCGGAAGATCATCTGATCTTGGCTTTCGAGCTTGCTCTCGGTCAGATGTTTTGACCGATGATGGGCTCGGTCCAAGACATCAACCACATTCGACTCGGACGTTACGTACAAAGTTCGCCATTCAGCCATACCGAGAAACGTCGGATGGCACTTGGCTGGCGCATTTTATTTTAAAGCCAGCAATACAATTTGATATTTGATACCCTCAACAGCGCTTGGTACCCACGATAGACAGCATTGTTTACCCTCACTCCAAGCAACGCGAGTGGTCCACTTTTTGATAGATTGCATTGGGTTGGGAGCACTTCTTCTTCTTCTATTGTTGCTTCAGGGTTGAGCACGGCTTGGAACATATCAGTTCCTGACATGAGCACCGTCGTCATTCGTTGGGTAGAGGATACATGGTTGTGTATCCCCCAGGAGTGGGGATCTTAGAAAAGTAAGCGGTCAGGATCTTTTATCAGGGCGGGGGCGGGTTGCGTACGCACAGTTAGAACTGTTAAAGAGGATTCCTCCCGTCATAACGATGTCATGGGTTTTCGATAAGACAAATTTACATACCAAAAAAGTTTATCTGATAAGCCGGACAGTGGCTCTGCTCTAGATGCCACATCCCTGTCTTGTGAGTCAACATGTATAATGAAGCCATATCATACCTGAAAACCTAGGCAAGTAAGTGATTACACATGGGTCCGTAATCTTCTCTCGTGTTGTTCATAGCCTCCTATAGTGTATCTGATCTTTCGAGGATATGCCCCCATGTGTTGTGGTCTTGCCGTTGGCTTTCCCTTTATTCAATGTTTTTGGGCAATTTCCAGTGGAGGTGCGCACGGCCAATTATCTACGCCACCGATTTACTTTGAGAACCTGATTTCAGAGACTTCGTGTTACTTCGTGGGCTCAGCCTAGTGACTAGCCCTTCTCCTATCTGCATGTTTAGAGTTGCCGGCCAAGTGTCCAAACACTCTAGCCCACGACATCCCTGTGAAGCTCTGAGCCGGTCTCTTATTCGACCCATCTTTGCCTAGGGCGCACCGCATGTCGTCAAATCCATCTATGTATTCTTGTTTACTCGAATAGGCTGTGTTACGTCCCGTTTCGAGCTTCCTTCCGGTGGAGAGATTGGCTCCGTCGATCCAGTAATTGTGGTTACCATCAAGGTTTGGGATTCCCGTGGGACGGATCATGTCAACAGCCAGTCCGATTATTCTTCGCAAGAACCAGGAACTCGATCACAAAAGAGAAAAGGTTATTCATATACAGCATTTGAGGTTTTCCAGCCATGCCTTCGCATGCGGTGACGAAGTATTCCCTGTTACGAAACCCGGCAGCACGCCCCTTGCTGTCATCCGAAACGAGCCCAGAGCTGCAATGGTTGCTCTTGATTGAAAATTCTTTGCTGCAGCTTCAGCCATGGCCCGGCAAGGCACTGTCGCCTCTCACACTTGAAATGTTCCGCCTGCCCAAATGTTGTCCAGGGACGTTAGGGAGGCGAGGTAATGCCCGGCCGAAGGCTCCACGAGGGTTTCAGATAGCGTTCAGGACCGAGAAATTGCCAAAAGTCCTTGTATGAGCTCAAGTCATTAACTTGAGAAAAAGTTAATCATCTTGGCCTCAGAGAGCGTGAGGAAGTGAGGCACCTGGCCGCTGCTCAGCATGGGTGATGAGTACTAGCTGCTGTCCGGCCACAAGAGCTTGCTGAATGTGTTGAGTCTCGCCAACAATTGGCTTTTGAGTCAAGATGATGTTCTCGCAGAAGCTACGAACTGAGGCAGCACTGAATGCGGAGTGGGACGAGCGAACGAGCGATTCAGTATTTACAACTTCAACCAACAGAAGAAATCCTCGGCAAGTATGGCTAGGCACGGTGCAGAAATCCCGTATACCTTACAGGCTGGCTAGCCGCTCACCATCCTAGCAGCCACTTTAATAATAAAGGCAGAGGCGTGCGCCAGAGACATCGATCAATCATTCCATTTCGAATCTCACAGATGTCAACCGGAACCGGAGTGAGATGAGTGTTTGTATTCTGTTACATTATGAGCTACAGCAATTGAACAGACTCAGTTGTCTTTTAGGTCAAGAATTTGAGCCTCTCGCCTTGGCCGATATTTTGTTCTTCTGGAAGGGAAGCGTGTCTGTGCGCCACCGACAAGAGTAGGAAGTGAGCGCTTGATGTCCTTGCCCCATGCTGTCAGCACACCTGATGTCCGCAAATCGTAGTCAGCAGTGCCTTCGATGTACATCATCTCAAAGCATTTCTTGCACTCTGGGGCAGTCAGTACTCTCAGGGCCTTTTTGATCGATAGTTCGTCGTAGTCTTGTCGATTGTATTCGACAGCTTCGTCCCATGCGTTTCGGCGCAGCGTAGCGAGGGCATCCACTTTGACCATTACGTCCCCGTGTGTCAAGCACTGTAGCATAGCCCACATGCCTTGTTTGATGCCTGCGTCAGGGCATTCCCGTCGAATCCATTGGAAGCCGTGCAGGAATGCATGCCAGTCTGCGAAGAGATCAGACACCAGCCTCTCCCACATCTCCGAGTCGTTTTTCCACTCCTGAGGGCAGGGTAACTTCAGAATATCCATGCTGCATCCACAAGCGTTGCAATGGCTCTTACAATCGCGCTTGCGGCAGCTCTGGACAGGGCAGATATTTGCTAGGAACTTCGTGCAGTCCTGGAGCCAGTGTGGTTCCATGCAGATGCCGCATCGTTTTGTAGACCATTCCAGACACTCGACGTCGTGATCAAGACCGCCATCACCAATAGGGCATAGATGCAATGAGCAGTGCTCTTTGCAGTCTTTCAACTTGGTGTTGGAATCTTTGTCCTCCATGACGCAGAGTCGGCAAAGTCGGTCACACTCGGATTTGTGGTGTCCAGCCCTCATGTCATGCATGAATACGGCGGAATCACATCCCTCGCAATGATCAGAAGGAAATGTCTGCTGATTGGTCTGAGGCTGGGCGACGACCTCGTTATGGAAGAACTCAAGCGTGCGGGCTTTTGGGACATCGTGCTTATTCGATTTGGTACCTTTGACGCGTGTTTCCATTCGCATGAAGTTCGTCAAGGGATCCCGAACGGACTCAAAGGCGCGTTGCGAGGACTCCAGCACCTGTCGTTCCAGCTTCCATGGCAGCAAACCCATGATTGTCAGTTGGGCATAAGAATTGTCAGAGCCGGGATGAATCAGGTTTTTGACAAAGCCGGGGCTCAGTGGTCCGGGAACGCCGCCCAGGACTTGTGAAGCAAACATTGCATCGGTGTCCGTTTTCTCAATCACCGAGATGGCTTTGCTGGCAAATATCTCCTGCAAGGGCGTGTTGTGGACGAGGGTTGGTAGGCAGCTCCGATTCATCCAGCAGATTTCCCACTGCTGCTCAGCGTCTTGCTCGTAGTATTCGCACTGGAACCATGCGTGGTCGGAGGTGTCGCAGATTGGGCAGATCTTGGTTCGTCCGTCGAGAGTATTGGGATATGGGCAATAGCGAATGTCGTGGCCATTTCCGCAGGCACCGCAGCTGTCCCTGTTTGTCTTGGGGATGGAGGAGGCTGGGGACCTGGAAGCTTGGGGGTGGTGGCTAGACTGCGACATCTCAAGAGCACCAGGTTGTTTGCTTCGACAGTGATCTTCGTCCTGGATCGGGCTGTCGGGTGGCTGGGCATAGCCGTCACATTTGCATTGGACGACGACAAGCTTCTCAAACAAATTCATGCCAACTGGGAGGAGTGAGCTATCGAGGTCGTTTGGTCGGTTGTTGACAACGTAGTTGACACGGCCGGGCTGAGAGGGATTGCCTGATTGCTGGGACGAGTCCCCGGACAGAGACAGACTCCGTTCCCCCTTATCTGTAGAAGACATGATTGATGTCGCTGATGAAGGCAAGTGAAGAGAGGAGGGAGGCAAGGAAGAAAATCGGAAGGGGTTGTGAGATCTCGAATGCTGTCGCTTTTATGGCGTGGGTGGAGGGGCAGCAAAGTTGGGCCTTTCACTCAATACCTGTGAATCCTGGGGAACGCAAACGCTGGTAGGTGAAATAATCAGTCCATCAACAATGGGATGAAATATCTGGTACTTTCATATAAGTCGAATGTCAATCTAAATCGTATCATGGAAAACACCTCTCGTGTCAGATATGCCTAGCCATTCCAATCCAGGCATCGAAGCAGATCTTGAGACCCTGATGGCAACATTTGGAATTGGTAAACACAGCAGCCTGAGAATCATTTACAATTAGCCAGAATTTCGAATACCGACTCCATGTTTGATTTCAAAGTATCACTTGCTGCGTCTGTAGCAGTCAGTTCACCTGGGCAGACAGCAGTCAGCAAATAAGGGGGGGTTTGTTGGAGTCCAGGAAGACTCATATACGGCGTAGCCATATGAACGCATGCAGGTCCTGTTTTGTAGTTCAACAGGATTCACACGTCACTGTACTGCACTGTCTGATGTGCCTTGACGAGCAATATGGAACTATTCTACCGCAAATTACAACTGAATTCAGATTTGGAGAATCTGGTTGCATTCTTGTTTGCCACCGATGCAGAGTAAACAAATGGAGTAGTCGGCTAGAGCCATGGATTAAGCAAACGGCCCAGGTGCGCTGAGGCCCATAGCTCCACTGATATGCTGTGCACTGCAGGCCCTCAATTGTCAAGTACTGACTGATATCAAAGAGCTTACCACTCCGCTCCGCATTGTGGGAATCTTGAGATTTCTTTCTTCGTCCGCGTCGGTTTCCTGTCAATATGTCACAACACGTACAGAATCTCCTCCGCGAGCTCGAAAACTTCCGAGCTTCTCACCCAATCTTGTTGGGCATCATAAACGAAACAACAAACATTCATCTCTTGATAAAATCGCAGAAATATACACACAGCATCCCGCTAGCCATCGTCCTGTTGCATTTACTGGAGCACCTCGAGAGTATCGCTGGTAAGTCAAGTCAAGACATGTCCCAATCTGACGAGCTCCCTCCGCGCTTGGAACACATCGCTGACAGTATCCACCAATTCGCAGAAGTCTACGAGATCATTCTGCCGCCCCGTTCGTCAGACAGACTGCGACGAGAGCCGATAGACAGACCATGTATGCAAATCACATATCAGGAAGCACATGAGTTCGTCCAAGCTCAGCCTAATCATGCGTACTTTGACACCTTCATGTCATTTGCGCGGCAACGAGGCCAGCAGCCGCCTCAGCCACCCACAGGGCCGGCATACGGGGTCCCAAACATGGCGACCACATGTCTGAGTGCTCCCCACACGAGCACGTTCGCGCCTTCGACGGTGGGCCCCTCATTGGGACTCAGGTCTGGTCAGCCATCCCCATTCGGGACAACGGTGCCAGCCCCGTCGTCCGGGCATTTCTGTGGCATTTCCCAGGCTACGATTCCAACAGGCTACAGTACCGAGCATTCCCTACCATACCATGGCATGTCAGCGACCATGGGTCCACATGTCGGGCAAAGTCTCCAAGGAGGTCTCATGCAGCCCCATCAGAACGGACACATACCTAGTGGCCACACCCCTATGCCTGTAACAGTAGGCCAGCAGCATTGTCCACCAGCGCCTCCGCAGCAGCAGGGCCAGATTCTTCGCTCACAAATCTCTCAATTCGGTGTTTCTCAGCACCAACACGTTGCGTATCCTGGCACTCAGTATCGGCAGCATGATCCTGCTCTCCTTCGTCATCTACTGGAGCAGGCTCTTGCTACTCTCACAGCATGCGAGACCCATGATACCATCCTAAAGGCTGATAGTGCCAACCCAAGGACTGAGGCAGCTGCTTTCCATGGCGATATCTCGTCTAATGAGCCCGTTGTAGGGAGCACTGTCGAGCCGCAGATCAGCAGCCCCCAGATGTCGCCAAGGATGGATGATGGCCAATTGCCTCTGCCAGAATCATGTTCTGATGTAAACTCGCATGAGTCGTCATCGCGAGCGTCCAGTAGAAGTAGACAAAGCGAGCTTGACTGGCCGACGGAGCGAGATAACCGGTCGAAGGTCTGTCCCAACTGCGGCGCCGATCACCAACTCAGAAATTGCCCGAAACCCAACACAGAGGATGGACACCTGCAGGCCTGCTTCGAGTGTAACACAACAGATCACGCCTGGTTCCAGTGTGATGATTATAACGCAGGTCAGTACAGGGTGTTCAATCTCATCTACGTCTCCCGCCAAAGCCTCTGCCCTGTTGTGCATGATGAGCCTATCCATGAGCTCTGGGGGAATCACTTCTACAATTTGGACGACGATATCCAAAAGTTGACTCTTCGGCGACCGGGACCAATGACTCCACAGTTTGTGCTTCGCATGCTACACAATTGGAAACATGACCAAGAAGTGAGACGGCAGATGAAAGACGAGGGCCGTCTTCTGCCCTGGGATTTATCGGCAACTGCGCTGAACTCTTACGCATCGCGCATTGCGCAAGCCGTTTTTGACCCAGCCACTAACCCGATGTCGCACGAAGTCTTCTATGAGGGCATCGAGACAAGCGACGACCAAGGAATCAATGTCATTGATTCCCAGAGCCTCGATGGCCACGAGATGAACGACGAGTCTCAGGCTGGCTTTGCCGAGCGACAAGCCGCCACAGCCCATGGAACAGCAGAAAATGTCCAACCCACACAGTCCGAGGAGGCTGACAGGCTTCAGGAGAAACATTTTCGGCCCGAGGGGTACCGGTACACAAGCTGGCGTGAACGCCAAGCACAGCTCAACGAGGAGCAGGTTCGTAAAGCTCCAAATCAAAACAAATGGATCCCGGGCCAATTACGGCCCCAAAAATATACAAGCTGGCGTGATCGCGTAAAACAGCGCAGGGAGGAGTAGGTTGATGAACTTCTGGAGAAGGAATGGCTCCCAAGACATGTACGGATTGAGAAGACCAATGAGTCTTCGGAAAGCTAGCGGCAGCGACACATTTGACCGCAGAGGGAAGGGTCTGTGGCCCAGCGAGAAAGGCTGGAGGGCGAGAGGCTTTGGAGCTACTGAAGAAGCTGAGTTGTCTTTTATTTGCTATGCTATCGAAGTCTGGGGGGCCAGTCACCACACACTCGCGCAATACGTACGATTAGTAAAACAAATAATACTTTGATTACTTATTCACATTCTGTCGAGCCAGTTATGTACACACAGCCCCATGAATACAGCTTAGTCACGAGGAGGACAGCGCCCGTCCTGGTACGCCCATTGCTCGCGCGAGGCTATCCGCCCGCTCAGATGATCACACAAAATTTGGGCCGTAGCCGGTCCCTTCACCTCGCTGGACATCCAGCTCCAACACATCACCATAAGGAGAACCAGTGAAAAGATTGCCCTCAAGTGTGGGCAGCGGTTTCTCCCTCAGAGCCCCCTGGATGCGCTCCGCGCTCACCAGGAACCGCTCCTGCAAGTCCTCATAGCCGTCGACAACAAGCTGCCCGTCGCGCTTCCTGAACTCGCCGCCCACGAGGACATGGTCGATGTCGCCAACACTGGCGTGGAGGATGACGGCCGCGACGGGGTCAGTCCACCCCAGCATAGCTGGTGACCTGCCGTTCCAGACCACGATGTCCGCTTTGGCGCCTGGGGCGATGACGCCGAGGTCCTTGCGGCCCAGGGCCAGGCCGCCGTTCCTCGTTGCGAGGAGGAACGCTTGGTTGACCGAGAAGGGGTTCCTTTTAGGGATTTGCCAGCGATCGACCGTGTTCTGGTACACGCGGTAGCGTGTGGACTGGAGCCAGAGCCGCGCCTGGGTGAGGATGTCCGACGAGTATGTAAAATGCGTGTCCACTCCGAGGGAGGCCTGGTCCATGATGTGATGGCTCGTTGGGTGCAAGTGGCCGTAGTGCATCTCGCTCTCGGGAGTTATGGAGATGTGCTTGTTGGTACTCCGCAGCAACGCTGCACCTCTTGGGTCCAGGAATGAGGCGTGTGATATTACTATTGGTGTGCTGGAGTTCAGAATTCCGACCCGATGAAGATCCTCAGGTGAGTTTCCCGCTTTGGTCATATATCAGCACGAAGCATAATAAACCAAGGGCTGGTACTTACCCATCCAAGGTCCCTCGACTTGGTGAGTTGTGACCACCGATACGTTGTCTTGGCTGTGGTGATGGTTAGTTGCTAAATCCCTTACGCTGAACTTAGACACTTACCGAATCAGGTCTATGACAGACAAAGTATCAGCTCCGGTAGGATTGGCTGTCCAGTCGTCATAAGATACCACAAGTTCAGTGAGGTTGCTGGAGATGGCAGAGGCGAGCTGCTTCCACTGGGAAATCTGCTGTGGGATTCTGAACTCGGCAGAAGAGTTCTGGAAAGTATAGGCAAAGAACACACGCGCCCCGCTGTCGACCGAAGCATTCAAGCCGGCAGCGGAATGTTCTGGCGTCCACGTGAGGTGAGCATGATCGAGTATTGTGGTCACCCCTGCGGCCACAGCCTCGTGGATACCGGCGAGCTGGCTGATGTAGACGTCGTCGGGAGTGAAGAGAGGCGCGGCCGAGAGTGAGCTGTATCGAAAGAAATACTCGGCTAGGGTCGTATTGGAGCCCATCGTCTTGAGGAGAGTTTGCCATCCGTGGCGATGGGTGTCGATGAAACCTGGGGTAATAATTTAATTGGTACAGTCGACCACTTCGGTGCCGGAAGGGACATCACTGGGCGACGCCGTGTCGAAGACGGAGGTGATCAGGTCCCCCTCAATGAGGACAGAGCCGTCGCGTATCACTTGCAATTGCTCAGCATCCTGATCAAATGAGATGATGGTGCCGCCACTGAGCAGCTTTGCACATGCGGCAAAGGATGCATATTGGGAGATGGTGACCACCTTCACGGCGAAGCTTGAAGGTTTCATCGTGTAGTTTGTTGCTGTCAATTTCAATTAGGAAGCATGTAATCAGAGGATAATTTAAAGGGCTTGCTTCGAATTTATGACTGGTGCCCTTCTATTGACGACTGCACGACGTTGGGTCTAGCTGAATGCAGGGCAGGATCCAATAGTGCTGCTTGTGCGTGCTACGTCTCTGCCCAGGCTGTCCAATCCATTATTTTTCAGAGTTCAGCAACTGAATAGTATTGGTGATTCCCTCTATACTAACACCACTTTCGGCTACTCTCTGTGGTGTGATTCGTGTGTGATCCACTCTCGCGGCACTGCCGATGCCTCCGGCGGCGTAGAGATGCGAGCGGGGGGATACTACCATGACTGAGGGGACGAGACCTTCATCTCCCTTCATGTAACAACCAACCTGCAGTGTTCTGTGCCCCAACTAGGACTCATTGAGAGGCGCGATACCCTGGTCCGCCTCCCCTGGGTGTGTAAGCGCCAAGTCAATATCTGACATAACATGTCATGAGGCAGCATATGGAGGAAATGAAGAGGGATTCCTTTCGCGCTCAGCACCCACTGGGGGTCCGAGGTTGACTAAGTGATTAGAAATATCGCCGCAGTACTGAAGAAGAAGCTTTGAAATCCATGCCTCAGCTATGTGTAAAAGGCATATGCAACAGGGCTGCCGTGCAAATTCTCGATGCCGCCTGGCTCTCTTCGCTTACTCATCGCATCATGGTGAGTCTCTGAAGGCATAAATTCCTGTTTCCTCCAAGTTGTGTCCATCAGAAAACGGGCGAATGAGGCGGTTCAACAAATTATCAGCAAAAGAGGATTATGTTGTGAGCCCTGGTCTGATGCTTGGGAGGTTCTTGCACCTGAGATCCTTGACCCTTCTGCATTACGTGTGCAAATTCCCAATATTAGCCAACAGATACTGATAACTCTCCTCCCTGAAGTCATCAGTCCCGACCGAGTTGTCCACCGAGTTGCCCATCTCCAGGATCTCCCTTCCCTGCTCGGTCCATTGCGGCCATTGCGTGAACTCGCTAGCGGTTCCGTTATTTGGGTCCAGCGTGTTGACGAAGCTGATGTAGTATGCGTGAATCGTCTTCTTCGCATCCGTGTCCCCGAGGTAGTCAAAGCCGTGGAGGATGTCGGTAGCGTGGAAAGTACCCAGAACAGGCGTTCCATAGAAGTACTTTCCTAGGTATGTCCCTAAGTGGTTGAGTGTCAGCCGTGAGAGATTGACATGTTGTTGTGATTAAAGGTAGGCTGTATCTGCTAGAAACTCCAGTGGAATGAAATGAACACGAATATATGAATCTCTACCGGCAGATTTGCGTGCCGAGCGAACTCTAAATAACAATTTGCTTACAAGCTGGCGGGCCACCTAGTTGTGCATTGAGCTGAAGAACCCGGCGGCGCTGGAGAGTGAAGAGCTGGTCACCCAGGAGGGCAGCCAGACGCTTAAATTGAGGGTACACATCATTGAATGGGCCAGTGCCGAATGGAGACCCTTCAGAGGAAGAGTCTGGATAAGTGTCAACATAACCTTGTACGACAGAGCGATCAGATTGTGGGAAGTAGAAGTCGTTCATGTATGTGACCACATCGTCAGTAGTTGACAGGTTGGTTTGCGTGAGAGAAAATAGAGTGCCCTCATCTTCTTGGTCGCCGACTATGAATGGGACCTTGGCGTATCTCCCGGTGGCAGATAAAACGTCGGTCGTGTCTGGAAGGATGTCGCCGTCTGGCCGAGGAGCACTTCCGCTGCCGTGTCAGCATTTTGTCTCACACTCGACGTCATTTCTGAAACGCAATGCAGACCCGGGTCGGTTGAACTCACTAAGATAACTGGCCCCCATTGTAGTCAAAAAGGCCAGGAACACTGGTAGCAGCGTTGAGGAAGTCCTGGTAAGGAAGAGACCGTAGGCACGCTAGGGTGTCTCCGGACTGCTCACAACCTCCCGCAACAACAACCGCGTCGTAAACCTGTTGAGCTTGAGGGGCATCGACACGAGCGTACGGGATCACGCTTCCACTATCCATGATGGCGCCGCGGAAGAGAGGCCTGCCCTTGTAGGTGTTGTCCCCACCGTTAAGCATCATCTGGAGGTGAACCGAGATAGAACCAGCACTTTCGCCGAAGATGACAACTTTTTCGGGGTCGCCGCCAAATTGTGCGATGTTGTCGGCGACCCACTGCAAACCTGAGACATCGTCAGCTAGAATTCAGAAATCGTGGCGGCCTCGCGACGTACCTAAACGTTGGTCCCGCAGGGCGAGGTTCGTAGAGCCCTCAGCTAGGATCTCCTTACCCGGCATCAATCCGAACCCGGCCACGCGGTAGTTGACTGCAACCCAGACAACAGGTTTGCCCATCGCGATCGAGTCGAGAACGAAGCTGGAGCCGTTGAACAGGGAACTCCACCCGAGCTCGAAAGCGCCGCCAAAAATCCAGAACATCACCGGGAGATTATCACCGGGGACTGTATTGGGAGGCGTGATGACATTGAGGGTTAGGCAGTCCTCCGAGGCATCGAGAAGGTTGTTTTGGGCGAAGGGCGTGTTCACAAGGCGTCCTGCCACACTCTCCAGGAGACTCGAGGAGTTGAGGTTCAAGACCAGCTGCGGGCACGCCTTCGCGCTTCTGGTGGCGTTTATTGTTCCTAAAGGGGTTGTGAAAGGCTGTGGTGGCCTCAGACGGAGGTTGCCCACTGGAGGTTGGGCATATGGAATCCCCTGAAAAGTAGAAAGACCTTCTGCATCGTACCCAATCACAGTAGTTCCGTTTGAAAGGGTTACTCTCACGTCGCGCTTCCGCAGCGAGCAGACTGGCGTGGCTATGAAGAGCTGAAACAGGAACAGCAATCCAAGACACAGCATTGTGGAGGATATTGTGGGACAGTGATGACTGCAGAAGGACGATGTTCACGAAGACGTAAACAGGCTGTCAAGCCGTTCGGCTGAGTAGAAATGTTGCCTGTGATGCATCAGCCTGGGGCTTCTGTCTCGAGGTACCTGAGCATTGCGGGCCATGGATTTCGTTCATCATGTTCTTCTTGTATCTTCTATGTCGAAGCTGCCATCACGGGGCAGGCCAATCAAGCTGTATACAAAGCGAATACGGCTATAGGTCCCTGTCACCATCGTCACAAGGCATGTGATCTGATGTGTGGAAGACTACCGCGCAATCTTTCACCCATGCTTTCAGGTCTAGATTGCGCTGTGCAGGATCTCCCCTTCATCCTCATCCATGCCAGCGTGACGATCATTCCAGCCGGTCCCAATATTCAAGGGGATCCTAGGTATATACCATTCAAGATATTGGGTGCCAAGCAGGATCTGCTCCTTTAAAGATGAAATGGGATGTGGAGCATTTACCGAGTGTTGCAGTGATTGCGTAGCAATAGTGCCGAAGCCTTGGTGGGGAGAAGCTCGCATGACTTACCCGTATCTAGCAGATGGTTAGGAGCAGCACCACCATAGCAGCGTGATTGCTTTTGCCAGAGAACATTCAACTCTTATTCGTATTCGATACTGCAAAAACTTCTGCGGGGAATGTGGGCTCTTCATCTCGTCTGATCTGCGATGTTCAAGATTCTCGATATTCCGGGCCATGGTGTTCAGCCGTTGGGAACCTTATCCATCCTTGTTCCATCAACCTTCATCCCAGCTTGGCGCCAGCTAGCCATTCCGGAGTTTTGTGTTGCAATCGCGTTTGTCCAAGCCTAGTCTTCGGCCCGAAGTGAGCATCGGTTGGTCGCGATCCCATTCATAGCCAATGGCTTATTCTTCGACAGTTGTGTTATCGTAAACAAGCGGGAATTCCCACGCAAAGCCAGCGACTCTATACCTTGAGGTGAAGTTCCCTTGAGGTGAAGGAACCGCATTCGGCCCTAGTGCAGCAAGAGTACAATGCCGTCAAAGCCCACTGAAGTCCATGTTTGCGAAGTTGTCCTGACCCCAACCCATAGTCATCGTAGCCCAGAGATCATGGTAGACCATCGGTTGTGTGTCGGAGGTGGAGCCGATCCCGGGCACGGCACTCAGCCCAGAATTCATCAACGTAGCATTTGTGAGACTCGACGGGTCCAAGAAACTGTCATCCCATGTCTCTATGTACGTATCAAGACTCCCGTCGAACATCGGGCACTTGCGCAGCCCAAGGTCGACGTCAAGAGGCATCGGATGGGGCGGCTGCATTGAAGCAGCCTTCTCCAACGTCGCAAGACGCTTCTCATACTTGCGCTTGACGACACCAAGCACGACCTTGCTCGCTGACAATACATCAGTGCTGGACGTCGTCTTGCTCGAGGCCGGCGTCAGGCTTGCAGTATCACTTACGCCGTCCGTGAATTTCTCCAGGAATGACCCGAGGCGGATGATCTCACGAGCTGCAGTGTGGTCCCAAGAGGGGCAGTCTCTGGGAAGGGGTAATGACAGTCGGAGTCCGAGGATGACCGCCGCGACGAAGTGGCCCCAATCTATTGCTGAAAAATTGGCGAATTCCGAGGCGGGCAGGGAGGAAAGGTAATCGTACCAAGGCCGCAGAAGATTGGCGCAAGACAACAGCCTATCTGGATCGGCGTCTGTGGTTGGCTGACCTTGCTTTTGTGAGTTGTAATACGGAAACCTAAGGAGAGAGTAGCCACGGAGAAATATTTCGGTGAATAGCTTGGCAATGTGGAAGACAGCTGGATGAGGTGTCAGCATTGTGCCTCATCTGCGTTACAACCGTTGAGTGTGATGAGAACCTACGCTTCGAAGATACATCGACAGGTATACGGCTGTTCCACTCTTGTAGCTGCGCTTCCATGCCTTTGACCATTAGCAGCACATGCTGGGCCTCGTGCTGCATCAGTCCTTTACGCCGGGTCAATGATGAAGCCTCCTCGAAAATGTTTCCGAGCCGAGCCAGCCAAGCCAGACACTGGTCGGCTGTTGTGCCTTGGTTCTTCCCGGTCCTCTCGAGGGTATCACAGCAGGTCGCTGTCCATTGCTCAAAAGGCAATGTGTGTCTCTTAGCCCAGATAGAGGCAATACTGGCACACAAGTAGTAGCAAGCTATGTAGGCTCTCATACCAGCCAGCAAATCGTCGTCTGCATCGACACTGGCATGATTAAAACCTTCAGGAGCTTGGTTGAGATCTAGGTCGTGGACGATATCGGTTGCCATCCGGATGTACTGCGAGGCTTGTTTCTGTTTCGGTCTCAAATGGAAAGGATACCTTGAATGCATCAGAGAAGTGCCCACATTTTGAAACGAATATTAGAATTGGGATCTTATGCTGGTGTACTCACCACGCGCAGTAGATCAACAGCCCAAGCAACAGTTCCAAGCTCCTCTCTCCACCACTGACGAACTTCATACCTAGTACCTTGCGGAACTCCTCATAATAGAGACTGTGTCCCTGCATACTCTTTCCTCCACTGGCCGCAGCCAGTATGGCCAGTAGCACAAAAGGCTTTTCCTTGGCCAAGGACGGGACCGTCGCATCTGCCGGGAGGACGATGACAGGAAAATAAGGCAGCATGCCGTTTCGGAACGAGTCCAAGAGGGACGTAGCGGAGTCAAGATTGAATTGAGGCTGTATACTGCTGATTCCATGGACAGAACGGGAACTGACCGATGGCGTCGACGCCGAAAACGTCCCTGTGCCGCTCGCCGAAGAGGAGGGCTGACCAAAGAGGTGGGCGCCTTCATCCCCGGCTAGATCGTCTTCGGGGACAAGATCATCGAGATAAGTGCCATGGGCGTCCCTGAGTGCGTCGATTGTCTCTAAGGGCTCCGTCTCGGCGTCATACTCACCTGCCATCGGGACATCTATGGTGAAGGTCCTGGAGGGGGCTGAAGGTGGTGGTGTCTTCCTAGTAGCAGCTGGGTGACTGCCCATTGAATAGAAGGATCAGTTACTGGATTACTCATCCCCTGAAAGGACAATGAACTGACAGCTTGTCGCGTCTCCTCCTCTTGCGTGGGCCCGTCTTGAAGATACATTCGCGTTTCGAGACGGAGCACCTGGCAAATGCGTTGAATAGTCAGCGAGGTTTGGGTAGCGCAACTGGAAAGGCACGGTTTCTTTACCGTCTGCAGATCTCTGGTGTGTTGCTGGGTGTACATTTCACCTTTGCGGCACGGCAGGCCTCACAGGCGTACGGAATTCGGGGCTTTGCCGCCGAGGACGGGCTTAATGAATGTTTGGGCCCATCCATGGTTTGCAGTTGATTGAGTCAGGAGGTATCTGCTCCTGATGTCGGAAGTTTGTGAGGTCGGTGGATGGGCGATGTGGGTGGAACAAAGGGAAAAGTTGGGCGGAGGTGGGAGGAGTCTAGGTCCGCCCGGGCGTAAGCACCGATATCCTTCGGAGAATACCCGATAAGTCGAGCAGTTCAGTTCATCTTTAATTGTCCAACACAATTTCAAGTGACACAGTGTGTAACGTTCCATTCATTTTGTCTTTTCCGAAACATCAGGCTATCGGACATTTTACAGTATTATACCATGAGTTTGGCTAGGAATGCTCGTCGATCTACGTCTTTCAGCGCCGTCAGTCCCATCCGCGATGCTCCCGGCTTCAATGCGACAACTCAAGCCCAATGCTCCACGTGAAAGATGGACCTCACTCATTTCCTCCTCGCTTGACGCATCGCGTATTTGATCGCGGCTTTTCGCACTTCATCGATCAGACCTTTGCCATTTTCTACCGCCGCCTGCGTTGCAGTGAACGACTTTGTCTTGACAATAACGACGTAGCCTTCACGAGTCATCATGGCATAAATGCCCCTCGATCCAAGCTGGATAGATCTGTTAGCTCACGTACTTAGACTAATCGGAGGAACTGAGTTGGCCAATAAGGAGAGCAGTTTCTAGAAAAGTCGACGAGCCCTGTTCCGTGAGGCAATATTCTCGGTGTCCTCCAAAGAGATCTCATGACTGGCCGTTGACAAGGTCCTATAGGAATATCATGAGAGTCCGAGACCATGGATGACTTACTTTGTGCTTCGAGCCACTGAAGCAAAAAGCATCGGCGGCACTGCATTTTTCAGCTGTCGCGTGGTATTCCTCGCCTCCGAATTTGAACTCCACTGTCGTTTTCTTGTCCGCTGGCTGCTTCCGAAGCACGTCGAACACCTTCCCGATCTTGTCGATTTCAGCCTTTTCAATCTTGGCCTTGTTAGACTAGAGTCAACGTTATGGTAAGTAAGTAGTTTTACAACTGAGTCGAGGAGAATATGGGCACGAACCGAATAGAGCACATTTATTCCGACAATCGCCCCCTGCCGGGTCTTCTTGAGCTTCCCAGCGACGATCTCTTCTGCGGGGTTACGCTCGTGGTAAAGACTTCAGAAGGTTAGAAAACTTGTCAGCCTGTGTGTTGATTGCTAAGGACAAGCGAGCATGCTTACATCGCAGCTTCATCTGCGTAGAATTAGTATAGGCTATGCAAGTACAAGGAACATTGAGCAAAATAAGGATGAGGAGGCAAATCGCATGGGGAGTGGGGGGAAAAAACGAGCTGCTGGGGCTTGACTGACCAGACAAGACGCTGAATGGGCTCCATCTGTCATTTTCAGGAGTGCCCGCGGCCTTCGCAGGAGTGCTCGTGGCTTTCACAGCAGTGGTCATCTTTCTGGGTGACAAGGGTGCTTCAAATTGTGCTGCAGTAGTTGGAATGGTCAATTAGTGATATTCTTCAAGTACCCCAAAAGCTCGTGTTCAAAATCGGATTGAGTTATCAGCGCACTTGCAATCGTCGAAAGTGGAAAAGTTTGGTTACTTTTAAAGCGATGATGAGAATGTAAATGCTTGTTTTAAATGCAGCTTGAAACGTGCTGTCGGACCTCCTGGCGGTCGCCTCGATCGCGGCCCCGAGCAGGAGTGGCCTCCGCCATATCGTGTAACAAAGGTCTGAGGGCATTACAGTCGGAGGAATGTGGCCATTCGGGCCACGAATTGGGCTCTTTTGTGTCACGGTAGACAAAAGCCATCAATTGGTGCAGATTGTGGGTGGTCGCGGGTAGTGGCCCAGTGCACCGCCGTCTATCGCTGACCACCCTACTTAGACCCTGCCGGCATTAACGGTAGCAATCTCAAATGTTTTCCACCCCAATCCCCAGTGGCTGTTTTGACATCCTGCTCAAATTTTGAATCCTTCCTCTTAATGCAAATACTCTTTCATGCCTGTCCGCACCAGCAGCAAACTCCGGATAGTGGTTGTTGTTCCACCGAAGCTCCTTTTGAGAGTAACGCCCTCGGCGGGACTGGAACACCGCAACCAAGATTCAATGACTTTATCCCTTCATTGCTTCTTCATAGCTTGGTGGTGGTGTCCCCTTACGGGGAGACAAGGATCTTGGCCGGCTTTCGTGATTGCCCAAATGACGTGAGCTCCCATCTAGATCGACATGTGTGCTGCGAGAGCATGGACCTGGGATGACTCCGCCTTCTTTCTCCAAAGAGGTGGTGAGAGATATGCCGTATTGTGCAGCCAAGTCACGAGCAGCCCCAATCAGCAGCTCTTTTAGCCAGCCCGATGCGTACCGAGGGATAAGTTCGTTCACGTCGACAGATAGCTTGCGCCTGAGTCGACCTACTCCCTTCTCTGGTATCTCGGAAACCATCTCCTGGAGTACGCCTGTATATCCCGTCAACCCGACCTTGTACTCTGAGGGGCTGATCTCTCGGCGACGTGTATAAAGCCAATAGGCCATCATCGCAACATCCGCGAACCTCTGTTCCGACCGCCGGGTGAAAGAAGACCAGTATATTTTCCGGCTTGCTTTGAGCAGATATGGTTTCGTAATGGAGTCATTCCCGCAATCGTAAGCAAATTCAGCAACTAGGCGGCCAAAGCAAAGAACATCCGGCAGGGTGCTGAAGTCCTTGAAAAAGATGAAGGCTCCCTTGAAAGGGTGTTCCCCAAAGCCGTAGTCAACCAGAAACATGTGATCGAACAAGGGCCGAAGTTCATAGTCGAATTTGGCAGTAGGCCTAGGTAGATGTAGAAGATCGGGGGGACATAGTGGCGGGAGCGTCTTCGGGTCTGAGACCACAGCACTGCTGCATTCTTGGTCGAACAGTATCATAGCGGTAGAGATCAGAAAAAAGTTACCGTTGGGCAACAACCAGCCGTACGGTGGCAAGTCAAGCTTTTTGAAGACGGCTCCTTGTATCGTGCGCAAAGAGCGTATCCAACCCTGATTCGGCTCCGTCCTCATGAGTGTGGCGTACTCTGGTCTCTCTGGACGAAGTGTGTTTGTGTTGAACTCCTCATCCCGCTTAGGTAGGCATAATTCGTGAACGTCTTGTAGTTCGGGCTCCTCGTGGCCTGCTACTTGTCCATGTGCCATGATGGTGCCGGTTTCCAAAAGTGCTGCTCGAGGTGAATTACCCATTGTGGGTGAGGGGACTGGGAGTGCATAAAGGCCTGTGACGGCCCAATGTTCGTCTTTGTTAATGACTGGGACCTATTTAAGGCCTGATGGGGTTTTGCAAAGAACCAAGGGTGTACTAGGGTGGTATTTAGGAGAAGGTCTTTCTGATGAAGGGTTTGGTTTTTGGTTTTCTTCTTTGACATGAACTCGGGCTTCTTCGGCTCGACGGCTTAAGGTTTGCACCAAATTAAGTTGATTTTACGAGTAGGTCTGCCTAAGGAAGAAAAAGAAGGGAGGAAGCTATCTGCAGCCAGCGGCCATCAGTGGGAAGGTGTAGGGCGGTGGGTCTGCCCTTCACTTCTTCTATTCTGAGCGCAGTACTTAAGGATTGTCACAACTTGAAAATGGCAAATGCCAGCAGGCGGTCAATGTGTAATACACTGTTTAGTTAAGCGTAGGTAAACACTTGGGAGATGGCTAAACGGTCTAGCATGGCTTTGGGACTGCCCTCGGCCCAGAATTATAACGTGCCAAAAAGGACTGTTCCGGTTAATAAATCATGTCATTGCCTGACCAGATTAGTTACTGCCTAGGTAATTAAGTGCCTAACGGGTTTGGGATCCGGTGGTGCGTAGCTCACGCTCTTTAGCAAGCCCGCCGTAGGAACTCTGTGGCAGGACCCCCGTGGTAGGACCTCTAGCAAAGCAAGACCCGTGAAGCGGCGTCGGGGCAGCTCCCTCGTGCAGGGTACGTTACGGGCGTACTAGGTAACTCAGGACTCGGAGGCAGCTTCGAAGAAGCTGTCCTTCTGATTTTGTGGTTGTCACATGTACTGCCAGTGTATCCCATCAGACGCCGGGCAGTCACACGACGAGGTAAGGATCGCAGTCAACAGTACGGCCAACCCCATTCTCCTCGAGACAACCCCATCTAGACCATGAGGAGACCAAAGGATGCCTAATTTCACGCACCGATCCGTCAATCCAATCAACTGTACAATCGACAGCCGATGCATGACCACAGACCATACACAGAGACGGAGAGCAGGTCCGGAGAACTCGTGGGAATGGAAGGATCCGGGGCGTGAGGGAAGGTGACCACAGCCTTCCGGGATCGGCGTGCCCAATTAAAAGTACAAGAACATATATGGATTGAGTATCCAGAACGCCTATGCATACATACCGCTGTATACCTCGCCCGGCCTCTAATGCCTTCGCACCCGAGCATCTATACATTAAATTGCGCCTCCGTCTCATGTGATGTATCTCTATCATTAGGGCCGCAGCCACGAAACAGCCCAACACATGCCACACACTTATACATTAAGGTAGAGTCATGAACAACGCCTCCAATTGGGGGTAATTCGGCGTCCCCAGCCCCGTGAGCGGATCCCACCCTTCCACTGCCGAGAAGCCATCCGTGCCGCACCCGGGGTTCTTGCCGTTGGTCACGTCGTTCATGACCTGCGGATTGGCGTAAAGAGCCGGGTTGATGAAGCCGACAGGGCCCTTACCCGCCTGAAGACGCTTCTCGTTGACCATGTTGATGATGGATGCAAAGACAGGGGCGGATGCTGCGGGGTGAAGTGTGTCAGTCAGAAAGCTCCTGTTAATGGGCAGGGACATGAGCTTACCCGATGTTCCAAAAGACAGCGAGAACCGGCCGTCCACAGCCGTGACATAGTTGGCGCCGTTGGCACTGACGTCTGGGAAGCCTCTGACCACCTTTGAGTTGTTGAAACGGTCCGCGCCATATGGGGGCGCGTGGTCGGCGAAGTAAGTGCCGATTGCCTGTTTCTGGTACGATGGCATCGCGAAGACGTTCGAAAACCCTCCGCCAGAGAAGATGACCCGCTCACAGGCGCTCTCAGGCGTTCTGACTGTCGACCCGTTCAGGATCTGAGTCGCACCCACGGATGTCACCCATGGGCAACCTCCAGGGAACGAGGGGTTGAACAGGCCGCTGGATCCATTGTTGTAAGCTCCAGTAACCGGATCGATGCACTGGTCTCCGTTGCCTGCTACGCCGAAGTCGCCGGAGGAATAAACAACGGTCACACCCCGCAGTGCCAGCTTCATGTACTCGTCACACTGTCGCTGCTCGTACTTGATGCCCAGATCTGCCTCATTGAATCCGTAACTAGTGGATATCACGTTTGTGGGTTTGGTGGTGCCGCAGTTCACTGAGTTTGGGTATTGACCGTCGACATTGGGATCCTTGGAATCACCACCCTCGAATTGACAGTAGTTGCCGTCAATGCCGTCCAGAAAGTTGTTGAAGCTTGCGCTCTGGACCAGATCGCCGACCTGGTACAAAGTGGCCTGCTGAGGGTAGATCAGGGCCATCGCGAATTCCAAGTCCAGTGCGGACTCGCCATTGAAACTGAAACTCTGGTTCTTGTCTTGGACGACGCCGTTGTCGAGAAGCGTCACAATTGGCGACTTGCCGTTCAGGTTGGGCTCGAACTCCTTGAAATACATATCCAGGTCCTTCTGTAGGAAAGCCTGGGGCGTGTACTCGACGATACCAAGGGTGTTGTTGCTGGCTGAGAGGCTACCTGGCGGAGTCGCGTAAAGAGCTCGCAGGCAAGCGGGCGTGATCATGGAGTCGCATTGTGTCAGGTCCATCAGAGCGTTGTCAACGAAAGCGCCCTGCTTCGGGTTGCTGCCGTCATCAGGACTGCCGACAATGCCCTTTTCAGGACGCTGCCGTTTCTGCAACTCGGCAGATCTCTTCTTAAGCTCTGACATGGCATCCTCCGGCATTTCCCTGAACCTGTTCTTCCGACCGTGCCCCACGCGCTGATCGAAATGTACCGTAGGCGTGATGATATCGACATGCTCGACCAGGTGCTCTGGGAGGTGATACTTGTCGCAAGCTACGTGACGAGCGCTCGTAGAGGTTGAGTGCTTATAGACGTGGTATGTTGTCTTCAGCATCTGTTCCATCTCTCGCACTGTCGCGTTGAATGTGATCCAGCTTTTCGATGCCGACATTTTTATCCGGCTCGGGTGGATTCCTTCCATCTGCAGCCACTCCATGACCGAGTCGACAGAGTCCTGCTTGGGCTTGAACATGTCCACGATCTTCTCAGGCGACCAGTGTTTTCCGTAGTTGGGGGACTCCGGGTGAGACACATCGTATACCAGCTCCTCAGCCCGGTGAAGGTTCTGCTGCGTGAGACCTATCCGGACTGGCAGGTTCGCAGCAGCGTGAATTCGATGAGCCTTCGACCAACTGCTCCGAGCAGCCACTCTCTCCTCGTGCACAACATGATTAATGGTCCTTGGCCGCAGCGGCTTCGCGTCGACTGCTGCCACCAGGGCAGCCAGTATGCTTGTGAGAACGCTGAACCGCATCTTGGCAACACCAGGACGTCCAAATCCCAAAAGAGAAAGAGAAGACAAGTTTGGCAGGCATTGGAAAACTTTCTTCATATTGCTGTCCGTCCATCTTAGCTCTGAAATGCCCCGTCCAGGGGTCCTCCGGCTGGGGCACGACTGAAACCGCGTCCACGATCCGTGATAGATCCTTCCCCTACAACGAACCCGTGTCGAACCCCGTAATTGCAAGGGAGACGACGCCGGCCATCCTTGATTACAGCAATCAGTGGGCGGTGTCGAACCATCTCGCGTCGGGAGGCCAAGCTTCAGATGATCCACTCGTCAAGCTTCCCAAGGAAGCTTACATGTGATCCACGGTCGACGGGATGAGGCCATCAGCCACAGCAATGACGGTGTCCGGGACAGGTACATCAAACAATTCCGGCACAACGACGTTGCAGACTGCACTACTAGGTTCGTCTGCAACGACAGTGAGCCGCAGGGGCACAGACAGCCCCGTTTCCGCCGCGTGGGCCAGTTTATGCGTTATCTTGAGCCGCATTCGACCAATTGAACATGTCTGGGCCAGGGTTCCGGGTGATTGGTTTCCAATGGCAAGCCGTTTTGAGGCACCGAACGCTAGAGGCGGGTTGGGGGTTGACTCGGAGCTCGGGAGCTCGGCTCTGCTCGTGCGGGATCGCTAAAGAAGTTCCAAACGCGTACCTGAAACGGAGGCGCATCCCGGCAATTCACCGGAGATCTTGAGCCCTACGTGGCCTTGGCAAAAGGCAAACGACAAACTGAATCTTGGCTCAACGAATCTTGCTGTCTTAAAATCTTCAATTGCTCGTCAAGCTCACGTGAGATTTCGTCGCTGGCTTTCCCATCTTCTGGCTGCAGAAAAGCCGAAATCGCATTTTCGAGGGTTTCGTTGGAGAACCCCGGCGTTTTGAGCTTTGCGTGGAATTGCGTCTCAGATCTGAGATCAGCCTCAAACTGGGCGGTAAAGGTGTACGCATGTTGCACTTGAGATGGTTTGACGACATTCCACGCCTTGGTGGGTCTGCTACCGCGTGATAGCGGCGGGTCCAAGATTATGTTTGTGACGGCAGCATTCAGGTTCGTCAGCTCTTTTGCGCCATTGCTAGCCTGTTTGTCAGTCATGTTCCACGCATGGATCTGTCCCTTTGGATGCCCAGACAGAAGGACCGTGCCATCATACGTCAAGCCTAGACAAGACGCGGGTCCGGAGTCTGAGGGTGCAACACAAAAAGGCGCTGTGACCTGCACGACCGTAGATGATTCTTCGCTCTTTGGCCCGAGCAGCGGCTTGGGGCCAAAGAATTCGATAGAGAAGATGGGACCGCCCTCTGTTGACACAAAGGCACCTCTTGAGCAAGGGTCAAGGGCAACACACAAGGGGAAAGTTGGGAACAGTAGAGTGCGGAGGACTGCGCCGGTTCGATAGTTCCAAATGATGCACGTCTTGTCCTTGCTCGCGGATACGCAGATACTTGTGTCCTCGCTGTCGCCCGAGGACGGTGCGATGGCTGTGATGGCACCCCTGTGGTTGGAGAAGCTGACGACAGGCTCGCGCTCCTCATTGCTGTCGAGTTCCAGCAGCTGAGCGAGACTCCATACGTGGATGTTTGAGTCGTCGGATCCGGTCAGGAGATGATACGGCGTTGCCACGACGCAGGACACAGCCTGGACGTGACAGGGAGGCAGTGACACCAGTCTCCCGGTGCAGGTCTGTGAAAGAGTCAGCGACCTCAGATGTATAGGGCTCAGATAAGCGTATAAAACTCTGGATAACCTACCTCCCATAGCATGACCCTGCCTTCGACGGTCCCCAGGATGAGCACATCGCCGGCCAGCGTCAAGCACCTTATCCTCTCAGGGAACGCCACAAAAGCCTCCTGGTTGCCGCGAAGCCGTGAGTAGACATGGACGTAGGCCTTCTCGTGTTGGGCTGCGAACACGTGCGTCTTACTGGCGGCAAGGCAGTTTGGCGGAGTTGCACTTTTCTTGAATGCTGACTTTGCAGCAAATGTTGGCCATAGAGAGTGTGTGTAAATGCCGACGTCCTTGGCGATGGCCGTGTTGCTAGACAGCGGGGGTCCACAGATGGAAGTGAAGAACTCTTCGGCCAACATATTGCCTTGCTTCGAGAGCACTGGTATGTCTCGATGCACAGAGGGGGCAGTATTTGTTTGACAAAGTTTCGACGCTTCCCAGGCATTGAAGCCAAGAAAAGTACTGAAATTTGCTGCCGAGTTTGGCAGGAACGCACGAGCCAAGTGAGCCGGGACTCAGGGTACAACCCTGGCATCGACTGCGTGTGCTCACATGCCTGGGCCGCAGTGGAAAGAAAGTTTAGCTGCTTCAACAGCTGAGTTCATGATGTCAAACCAGGAAGCTGTCCTGGAGGTATTTATTCGCGCTGTAACGAATGATACGGGCACGATTGCACGCCATGATATGGCACTGATGTTGAGTGAAGCAGACCTTAAGTCTTCTTGGCTGATTCAAAACAACACTCAAGCAATGAGCAGACATCGACTCAGCCTCATCAATGGCTATTATTGTTGTCTTTGCAGAGGGCGACTTGATTCAATGGACAAAAGTCAATTTATACGATTCAAAGACTCCCTTGGGCATGTTTCGAACTGCCCAGCCTGGTCTAGAATCTCCCCATCGCCAAGCAATCCCCGTGCCATCCCATGACTTTACTTACCCCTGAAATCCGGGGACATTGCCTGCTGCAACGTATGCCGTCACCCAGACAGGCGCTAACTACTGCGAGAAACATGGCCAGGAAACATCCACTCCCACAATCTCAAAGACGAAGGGGTACTCACCCCGGCGACAGAATCACCCAATCCAACAGCATCGGCGTTCCGGCCGAGACGGTCGAGGCTCTTCCGCGCTGGAAAACAAAATCCGGGGCCTTGGCGCACACCCACATGTCTCGGGCCCAAGAGAGCGAAAGGCTGCTGTGCAGTTATACTAAGCATAGACAGAACCTTATTTAGATTGTAGGCCCCTCCCAATTGGCTGACCCAGTCAGGTCCAGCAGCCCCTGACACTATCCAGCTTCCACTTTGGGGACCGCCCCGAGTAATTTACTTCCGTGGGCGATCGCCCGCGCGCGGGGGCGGAGGGTAGCATTGGAGGCAAATCGTTTTGTTTTAGCCTTTCTGTTCCTGGGCGGAGCGCAAGCGAGAGTCAGCGGGGAAACATACAATGGACGGACAAGTTCGTATATAGCTTGCCCATGGGGCTGCACGCGGGTGGGTAAGGGGAAGAGGTGATGGCTCATCCTTCTGTTCTCTTCGCCTGTGCTGTGCTGTGCTGTGCTGTGCTGTGCTGCTTGCCCGCCTGTCATTCACTCATTCACTCATTCTTGAACCATGGTCCGCAAAATGGTTCGGACGTTTTCATTCGTTTCTTCACCGTCAGCAGTTGCCCTGTCACTGTTGGCGGGCTCGGCACTCGCTGTCGACCTTAACACCGCTGACACAGCCTCCATATCCTCGGCTGCCTCTACGATCGCGTCGGGTCTGTTCAAAGGTTACTATAATAACGCTTCCACAGCCGGGGACTTTAACCAACCGCAGCCGTGGTACTGGTGGCTGTCAGGCTCAGGCTGGAATGGCCTGATGGACTATACCGTGTACACCAAGGACACACAGTACCAAACAGCCCTCCTGGCCGCAATCCCCGAGAACCTCGGCTCGAACTTCGATTTTGCACCCGCGGAGCAGCAGGGGTGGGAGGCCAACGATGACCAGATGTACTGGGTGTACAATGCCCTCACCGCGATGGAGTACAACTTCACGGCAATCGAAGGGGCACCGTCGTGGGTGACCGTCGCTGAGAACGCCTTCAACGCCTTCGCGAGGAGGTGGGCAGCCGACAGCCCGACGTGCGGCGGGGGCTTGAAGTGGCAATATACCAAGACCGCTAATGGTTATTTCTACAAGAACGCCGTGACGAACGGAGGTTTCCTCCAGACCTCGGCCAGGCTGGCCCGGTACACGGGCAACACGACTTATGCGGAGTGGGCCGGAAAAATTTGGGACTGGTCCGTCGCCGTCGGCCTCGTTGGGACCCAATTCAATGTCTTCGACGGGACGTCCGATAAGGACGCCGACAACTGCACCACCATGTCTGGCGACCAGTGGTCCTATAACGTCGCCACGTACATGATGGGTGCTGCCAACATGTACGCATATACCGGAGCCATGGGCTTTCCAGAACAGCAAGTCGTATGGGGATCACGGGTGGCGGGGCTGGTGGCAGCAGCTAACGCGACTTTCTTCTCCCCACCGACGAACAACGCGACGGGCGTTATGTATGAGCAGAAATGTGAAGTCACTTCAGAATGTGACCTCGACCAGACGAGCTTCAAGAGCAGCCTGGCGAGGTGGATGGGTAAGACGGCTGTGCTGGTGCCCAGTGTCAAGGACAACATCATGACCCTGCTCAGCACAAGCGCGAAGGCGGCCGCTGCGAGCTGCACTGATGGCACCTCGACCGTCTCGTGTGGCATGAAGTGGTGGACAGCGGATGGGTACGATGGGTATTCGGATTTCGGATCGCAGCTGAGCGCTTTGGAGGTTATACAGAGCCTGCTGGTGACAAGCACGCCGGAGCCGACGACATTGATCCCGGCATAGTGTGACGGGGGTCTAGCTCGGAAGCAACGGTGGTTTCGTCCCCGGTACAATATCATCCATTTTACCAAGGATATTCTCTGCGAACCCGACTGCCTTCTTGTGACCGAAATGCTCAGTGATTTGCAGACGATGAATCTCCCCTTGACATCGATCATGGAACGAGGAACTGATGCTCGCATTGTGGATCCGGGATGTAAGCAGGTAGCAACAAGATCGCGGCAAGAGGATTATTTGCGAGGCCGAGGGCCAACCTTGACATGCTTTTCCTGAAGCTAACTCCGAGCATGCGACGAAGGGGTAGGCGTCAATGGCCATAGTGACATGATAGCCATATGCACAGAGCTCGCTGTCGCTGCCGACGAAGGTCCACAGTGAGCCAAGATATCACAGCTCTTGACAACTTTGTCTCGGCTTGGCAACTAAGACAGAACTCAAGCCTGGTGGGTTCCAAGAAAGATGCTGCGCGGTGATCTTGCCATCTCTTCGACCCTCAGATCTGTCGTCAAATGGGTGCCCTTACGCAGTGGCAAATGCGAGAGCTGCTGAACTGTTACTAATCTGGGCTCATGCATTTTGCCAACTTAATTGGCCTTGCAATCCCGTTCTGACGACGCAAGGGTACGGAATTTATGTTTCTGAAGCCGGCTGGCTGTTCCCTGGCTCATCTGAAGTTGACGAAGGCTGGCCTCGTATGGCTTCGACTTGGGGTTCAATCCGTCTGGTCCCAATCGTTTTGCTGCCACCAGAAGGAACCACTCCGAGACGAGACGACTGCAATGTGGATGTCGGTCTTGGAGTGACCGGGGAGACGCAACTCCATCCCAGCGAGGTCATCTGTGGTCTCTCGCGCCGGCAGACCTGAACTCCGAGTGCATGTCTCGGACGAGGCTGCACCTGGCCACACGTGTCCCGTGGCAGGCGTGCTGGCTATTTTTGTACCGCATGCGTGATGCCTGTGTGGCGCGCAGCGGATAGAATGCACTGTTTCAATCGGCTGCGGACACCATCAGCCACATTCGTGTTTCCGGCTGCGCCCTTGAAGGTTCCTGATCCCCGAGCGATCATGAATCGCCGTGTGACATGCCGAGGGAGCTTGGACTTTGCGTGGCACGGTCGAGTCAAGTCGGCAATCTCGTCGGCTGTCAACCAACAAGGGACGGACATAATGGGACCGGACCTGGGTGAAGCTGAACCAAAAGGAAAGCTGTTGGGATCACAGCATTCGCTGTATCCGTAGGGCTAGCCTTCTTGGGCGGGCTGGAAGTCGGTTAACTGCAAGTAGAAAGGGTGGTGGACTACAGTAGTGCAGAATGGATATGCACGTTGAAAAGCTTGGCATAGAAGGGCCCGCAATTGATGGGATGAAATAGAACAGGTTCCATTTTAGGGAGGGAGGGAGGGGGATTGTAATCAATGCAAGTGATGGGATCTGATATCTGGTCCTCTACACTCAGGGATTCGGTGACACAACACTGCCCCAACGGATGCACAACGGATAGGCGACCTGCAAGAGGTGATGAACGGGGAAGGGAGCTTGGGACAGGAGGGATGGGAACTGTGTTGGTGTTGTCGCTGGTATTGGTGGTGGGTGGTTTCAGGATGTCTCTCGTAGACAAGCTTGGAAGCGGGCAGGAAGGACACTTGTCAGGCTTGTTCGCGCGTGTGCCGTGGACCAACCCCCCTCCTGCTCTCTCCTGCTCCCTCCTGCTCCCCGACGAACCGAAGAGCGCGGATTCCAATTTTGGAGAAGGTGTGGCTTGCACATGAAACAAGGGGACCCTCAATTTAAGCTTTAACTGGTTCTTTTTTCTGCTCTTTTCAGTGGTCACTTGGTATGTCACCTTCCATCCAGTGTTGGCTGGAGTATTTCCTTGATTTTAATTAACTTTGTGAGGCTCTCTCTCTGATCATCAGCCCGTCTGGCTCTCTGGTAATCCCGAACTTAGATTGAAGAGGTGAGCCGTTGGCTGCATGAGGTCCTTGCTGGAGCTGGTTCTTGACAGCTCCCTCCTGGACATTTAGACTAGGCGGTGATCATGCAAGCACATCAGACCCCTGCTGCCATCCAACGGATCGACCGCGTGGGCCCTCAGGCCCTTGGTGCTGATGAGATAATATGGGCAGATTGGGATGGGATTCGTGGACGGGTGCGCAATCTGGTTACCCATTGGACCTAACCTGCAGATCGCCCTCCTCCAGACAAGCGGACAAGCTCATCACACACTCACACAGCCTGTCCTGCCCTGCCTGCCTGTCGTACCCGGATTTTACGTTCGGAGAAGGAGAGAATGACGAAGTCCTCGCCATATTGGCTCCAGTCAGTGCGACTTGCTTCGGCCCGTTGAAACAGGCCTCCAAATCCAATCGATCGTCTACCACTCGCATACTACAGTACCTAGGTAGACTTGACTTTTAACTACCGTATATCTCGCCCGCATCACACAGAGAAAAACGGGAAAGGCTTCGTAAGCTCCTTCGTAGACTCCTTCGTAAAAGCAGCATCGCCTCGCATATCTAGCGCAACCACCTGCTCAACTGGGCATCGTCCCTGATCTACGCCATCGTCGTCTTTGGCCCCGCAGAGCTCGCAGGCATCAGGCAAGCCTGCGCAACCTTTTGGGAAAACTTGGTTGGAACCTCGAGAGCCCTCTCTCACACGTTGGAGGTCGTCGTCTCCCACATTCTTCTGCCGTCGAAGCTTTTCTCCTCCACGTCACCACCAGCCTGCCAGCCCAGTCCAGTCCGGTCCAGCCCTGTTCACCTCCACGCTGGCCACTCTCAATTTACCCACACCTGCATCTGCAACCCGCATCTTCGAATCAATCAATCCAATCCACCTGGGCGTATCTACCTACACCCCTGCGCCCTGTTCGGGGGTGGTCCCGAATTAAAAAAAGGCCAAGCCCGCCTAGCTGCAAGCTCATCATCCCGCACGATACTTTTCTTGGCTCGTTTCTTCCTTGCCCATGCCCAGATGTGCGCATGTGTGAGCTTGTCCCTGTGCCTGTGAGGACAACCACTGATTGACATTGGCGAAATCCCAACTTTTTCCCCCTTGCCCGCCATCTCAGCCAGCCAATGCGTTGAAACTGTCGCACTACTACAATCTACACTACTCAGATATCCCGTCATCTCGTCTCGTCCTCCCCCCGACTTTTTGTCACCTGGCAAGACAAGCAGTGGCATTCTCAATTCATCCATTGACCATATTCTTATTGGTATTTCACCCCTCCTCCGTTCACACGAAACAACGGTACCCAGCCATCACTCCCTAGCTGGCCCTTGCACGCCATCCGCGGCGCCGCACCCGCTTCGATCCCGTCGCAGTCTTGGCATCTTTTCGAAACCTCACCTTCGCGACCAGAGCACCATACTACGGACCCCGAACCAGCGCGAACTCCGGGTCGACTTCCTCCCATTCCCGTCTCAACTTGCCCACCCGACTGTTGCTACCGCCTTCACACATTCGCCGCTCGAGACCAGTCGGCTCCATGTTCAATGTTAAACGAAAGCCGATGCTGATCCCCGTCTCGGCGCGAGCGAAAAGCCCCCGGCGACAGCCCAACATGCTCACCGTGAAGCGCGCCCTGATCGCCGCCGCCTTCTTCATTACCCTACTCTACATCGTCACGCGGTCGCATGGGCCCGACACCCCAGCACCCGTGCCAATAGTACCAGACTCGTTTCCAAAAGCAGACGACGCACACGAGCCCTCGAGACAATCCTCCTCCTCGACAGGCACACCCCATGCCTCGGTAGGGAAGCCAGCTAGCAATGGGGGTGCCGCTGCTGGCGGTGGTGTGGCCGGCCAAAAGACAATGCAGGACATGTCCAAGCTGTCCACCTACGACAAGCTCGCATATCAGTTCCCCTACGACGTTGAGACCAAGTTCCCCGCGTACATCTGGCAGACATGGAAATACAACCCGTCGAGCGGCAAGTTCCAGTTCAGGGAAGAGGAGGCCTCATGGACGGAGCTTCACCCAGGTTTCATTCATGAAGTCATCACGGACGACGTCGCCGAGAACCTGATCAAGCTGTTCTACGCCTCTGTGCCGGAGGTGATCGAGGCCTACGACGCGATGCCTCTCCCCGTCCTGAAGGCGGACTTTTTCCGGTACCTGATCCTGCTGGCGCGTGGTGGCGTCTACAGTGATATCGACACATCGGCGCTCAAGTCGGCAGTGGAGTGGGTCCCCGAGTCTGTGCCGCGCGAGACTGTGGGCTTGGTGATTGGCATTGAGGCAGACCCAGACAGGCCCGACTGGCACGATTGGTACAGCCGGAGGATCCAGTTCTGCCAGTGGACAATACAGTCGAAGCCGGGGCACCCAGTCCTGCGCGATATCGTCGCGCGGGTTGCGGCCGAGACGCTCAAGAGGAAGAGGTCAGGGTTGCTCGACGGGATGGACACCAAGAACGTAATAGAATTCACGGGACCTGCTGTCTGGACCGATACGATCTTCGAGTACTTCAACGACCCGCGGTATTTCGACATGAGCACAAGCAAGGGGGCGATCGACTGGAAGAACTTCACGGGCATGGAGGTTGCCAAGAAGGTCGGCGACGTGATCGTTCTGCCCATCACGAGCTTCTCGCCCGGCGTACAGCAGATGGGCGCGAAGGAGCCCGACGACCCAATGGCGTTCGTGCATCACGATTTTGAGGGTGAGTTGGAAACACTGAACGGAACAACGGAGCGCAAGCGAATTGAAGACTGACTTTTCTGAACAGGCACTTGGAAGCCCGAAAGTGAAAGGCACATCGGCCCTGAAACCTGAGGGAAATTACGGCAATCCTTGCCTCTTCTTGTGTACAAATTTCTTTTGATTTTCCCCCCTTGCGAACATGCCAAAACAACTGCATGCGATAGGAGTCCAGGTCACTTTGTGTTTTGGTTTTTCTTTCTCTCGAGGTTTCACGACGGACACAAGAGAAAAGCAAATGCAGAGACAGCCACTTGTTATGATATGCATACCCGGTATCGATTGAGGGACGATAACGACCTTAGAGAATAATAGACAGCAGGGTTTGGCGAATACCTACAACGATGAGTTAATTATCTGGCTTGCATTCGTGGTCTACGTGCTGCAGATGACCTCCTCCCGGATGAGCACCCAGCTCCAGCCTGGCAGTGAACGCCTGCTGACGGCCTGCAAAGAGTTGTGAACTTCCAGAGACTTGCGAGGTGAGAGCAAGCGAAGGGCGAATGCAATATCTCGAAGCCACTCTGGCTCAACTGTGTGTTACGCGTCGGCATTCATCACGGACAGAAGGGGAATCGGCGATATACAGCAATGATTGCATCCTGACCACGAAAGAAGCCTCCTTTTCGTATTACGACAGCCTTGCGTGTCTGGGAAAGCTTGAAATGTATGTGTCCAGAGCTAATCGTGGCAGTGAGTGGTAGCACTTGGGACAAAAAAGTTAAAGCTAAAATGCAGTACAGGGACCTATACATATTGTAACCACCACTACCAACTTATTCTTAAAAGCTTCTCTCCTTATGCGTAAACCACCACTAAAAGAACAAGCGCAGTCTCGATTCGATGATTTGGGGTAAGAAAAGGACCTACTACTACACATCAGCCAAAAAAAAGTTTACCCAGCCCAGGACTTGAACCTGGATCTTCCCGCCCCGTACTCGGGCACACTTCCGCGCAAGCTTCCATGCGTGTCACCAAGAAATGCTGCCATTACACTAACTAGGCTTACAAGACCACCAACAAATCTAGCTTATATCTACAAAATCCAGGGGCACGTAGCAATGAGGTACCTTAAGGCCTCTCAAGTGCTCCTAGGTTTCTATTTAGATACAGAGCCAGCTGTGTAGCGGCAGGCGGTAAGCACAAAACCCTGACCCGTCACCTTTCAGTGCATCACAACATCAACCAAGACAATCCATCTTCGGGCTAGTTTAACGCTAACGTAATAACTCCACTTAAGCCGACTTCACAGTCAACCCGGAGGTAGCCAACATCGAACTACAGCTTCAAAGCCAACCAAAGAAGCGGAAAAGTTCATCAGAATCGTGCCAGAGCCGATGGCATTGGCGGATGAGAACAAAATAGCTGGTAGTATAACACACGTGGCAGTGAGCGGTAGCATTTGGGACAAAAAAAGTCAAAGTCAAAATGCAGTACAGGGACCCATGCATATCGTGACCACCACCAACTTGTCCTTGAGAGCTTCTTTCCTCGTACCTGGGCCCACTGAAGGTCAGATGGAACTGGCAACCAGCTCGGTAGTGTGCCTTGGTTGTCTTCTCCTGGCTTTCCCCAAACTCCAACCCCGCATTTCGGGGATCGAGCTGCCTGCGCCGGTCCGCGTTGCGGCTGGATTCCGGGGAGCGGACCTTCTCCATCGAGGTAGCAAGCACGGAAGAACTTGCTTATATTTCAGTCTCTCGTGAGATCGTCATTTCATTGTGTTTGTTGCTTCTCCTGTCACACGAGCCGCGATGCCCAGTCGATCATCCCCCTTCTCACCCTGACGTCATGTTGCCAGCACTCACCTCGCGATGGGCTCCCCAAGCGCTAAGAGCTGCCCGGATTCAGCCGCGGCAATTGAAGGCGAGGACGGCGGTCCGGGGAAGCAGGGCTGTCCCTCTGGCTGTGGCCGGGCCTCAAGCGAGGTTCTCCAGTGCCCTTACATACAGCATCTCTCAGGGGCCAGATGAACCTCCCCTCTTGCCTTATACCATCCCCGAGCACTTCGCCAGGGTCGTGTCCGAGCATGGTGACAGGCCAGCAGTCATCTGCCGCAGCCCAACAACCACCGTCCTCGCCGGCGAGGAGACAAATTTGAGCTATGCCGCCCTCGACGCCAACTCCAGCAGCTTGGCTCACTCCCTGAGGTCGCTTGGTGTGAAAAAGGGCGACAGAGTGGCCGTCAAGCTCGGCAATACGGCCGAGCACGCTGCGCTGACGTATGCTGTGTTCAAGCTGGGCGCCATCTTGGTGCCACTCAACCCGACCTTCAACGCCTCGCAGGTCGCCGCCGCCTTGTCGCACCTGGGCGTCGAGGTCTTTGTCGTCGCGGCCGTCACCGACCGTGCCTACAAGCCCTGCCAGGGGCGGAGCAACCTCGACCTCCTCAGGAGCCTGATCCCGGACCTATCGTCAGGGCGCGTCGAGAGTCCACTGGTGCCGACACTGAGAAAGGTCGTGGTGGTGGACAATTCCTCGTCCCATCCTGCTGTGGACTTCTGTCTGGCCGACTACCCATCTTTGACCCCTTACGAGACGCTCAGTCCGTCGTCATCCTCATCGCTGAGTAGCACCCGCCCTGTCGTGCCCGACTCCCCTCTCCATGCTCAGGACTGCATCAACATCCAATTCACATCCGGGACGACATCTCACCCCAAGGCCGCCATGCTCACGCACACGGGAATCCTCAACAACGGACACCTGATCGCGAGGCGCATGGGGCTGACCCCGTCCGACCTCATCGTCTGCCCGCCGCCACTGTTTCACTGCTTCGGATGCGTGCTTGGCTACATGGCGACTGCTACTAGTGGCTCGGCTATCTTATTTCCATCACCTGCATTCGATCCCCTCGCGAGCCTCAAGATGGCCGCCGACCACCGCGCCACGGGCCTGTACGGCGTGGCGACCATGTTCGTGTCGATGCTCGAGCTGCTTGACAAGAAGTCCCGGCCCCTTGCGCCTGCGGACGCCGACCGGCTGCCCTCGCACCTGCGCAAGGGCATCGCGGCCGGCTCGTCTGTCCCAGAGTCGCTCATGCGCAAGCTCTACGACAGGCTGGGCCTGAGCGAGCTCGTGATCTGCTACGGCATGACCGAGACGAGCCCGGTCTCGTGTATGACCGCCCCGGGCGACCCCTTGGACAAGCGGACTGGCACCATTGGCAAGGTGATGCCGCACACGCGCATCAAGATTGTCGACCCGGCGGACAGGAGCAAGATCGTCCCGATTGGCGAGCGAGGCGAGTTGGCTACGAGTGGATATCTCGTCATGCAAGGGTACTGGGGTGACGAGGAGAAGACAAAGGAGGTCCGCATCCTAGAGCCTGACGTCGATGTTGGGATGGCAGGCAGCCCTAATGCCACAGGGGAGCCAGCGGTAGCACAGAACGGCGACTCGGACTCTGGCGCTGGGGGCCGCTGGTGGATGTACAGCGGGGACGAGGCGAGCATGACAGCGGACGGGTACGTGTCGATAACAGGGCGCATCAAGGACCTGATCATCCGCGGCGGCGAAAACATCCACCCGCTCGAGATCGAGAACGCGCTGTTCCAGCACCCACTGATCGCCGAGGCATCGGTGGTAGGCGTGCCCGACGCGAAGCACGGCGAGGCCGTCTGCGCCTTCGTCGTGCCGCGCGCCGGCGTCGCCACCGAGGACGACCCCACGTTCGGCGAGGACGGCTTTGCCCGCTCCGAGAGCCAGGGCCTGCCGCTGCTGCGGAAGGATGACGTCCGCGCGTGGGTGCGCGGGCGCCTGTCGTCTCACCTGGTGCCCAAGTATGTGTTTTGGACGGACGACTACCCTAAGACGGCGAGTGGGAAGATCCAGAAGTATAAGCTGCGGGATGCGGCGAGGGACCTGATTCACATCCACACTGGACCGGGTAGTGTGGATGAGAAGTATGAGGCTGTTTTGGAGAAGCAGATTGGTGGTAAGGGCGATAGTCGGTCATCTTGGGAGAGGTAGGGGGATGGCATATTGCGCTATAACTGTTATGAGAAGTCTTGCTTGGCTCAGGCGTGGTGTTGGCGGCTTTTGATCTACTGGGGTGGCATGTCTGGCTTTCAATGTTACTTTATTGGTAGATGGCCCTGAAAGCCATTTTCGAAAGATTTACTCTAGCGTTTGATTCAAGCTTAGAGTAGCCAGGAACAATCTGGCGACGAGACTCAATCGGGGTCCACATCCCAGATATTGGCATCTGTTCCAACACGAATGCGTCCTTTTTAACCACAGCAGTGTGAACTGTTGGTGCCGTAGGTGACAGCCACGGTCTAGTCTAGAAACCTCCAACCCAGCCCCAACAGCAGTGAGCCAACCATCCTCAACCCCCTATGTCTCATCTCACTGTCACGCTGGCTCTTGGCCCCTCATCATTCTCATCATTGCGCAGGCCAGTTGTTCGTAAAGTCCAGGCACGCCCCATTGGCACTCTTCGCAATGCCCCGGTCCGACAGGAACACGCAGTATTTGGCCACATTCTCCACGGGGACACTGTGCTTCTCAGCGTCAAACTTGGCCTGCGCCTGCTCGAACTTCTGGAAAAAGTCCATGTTGATGCCCTTGGCCATGGCATCCGTGATATGGGTGTTCATGCCGCCCAGCAGGAACGCGACAGAGTAGATCCCCTTGTCGGCATACGCAAACGCCGTGTTCTTGCTCAGGCCCAGCAGGCCGTGCTTGGACGCCGTGTACGCGGCGCCGGCGCTGTGGCCCGACTTGGCGGCGACAGAGCAGATGTTGATGATCAGGCCGCCCTTGCCGTCCCCCTGCTTCTGGAACTGCGCCACGGCCGCGCGCGTCGCGTAGTAGGGCCCGTTGAGGTTGACGCCCAGCACGCGCGCCCACAGCTCGGGCGGGCACTCGCCCGCGGGCGAGAAGTCGTCCATGATGCCGGCGTTGTTGACCAGCAGGTCGAGGCGCCCGAAGCGCGCCACGCTGCCGTCGACCAGCGCCTGCACCGCCGCCTGGTCCGAGACGTCCGTCGTCGTCGTCAGGATCCGCTCCGCCTTGTGGCCGGCCGCCACCCACTCCTGCTCCGTCGCCGTCAGGCGCTCCTGGTTCACGTCGCAGATGGCCACGTTGCTCCCTGCGGCGAGGAAGGCCGCCGCGATGGCCTTGCCTAGGCCGCCGCCCGCGCCGGTGACGATCACTGTGTGGGTGGACATGTTGTCTTGTGTTGGAGAGGGGTTGTGAGAGCTGTGAGAGGCTGGCTGGTGGGGAGACAAGTCATGGCGGCTGTGAAGCTCAGGAGTCGTGCAGATAGCCCTTATATGTCGTCCGCTGGCGCATTATCCCCTGCAGGGACTGGGGGAGTGTGGGGTGGAAGCACTGACGCTGCCCAGGCCAGACCACGCAGGGGTGAATATTTGTTCCTAGAACGTATGTGGTGTACGCTAGACATTCAACTCAGACTCACGTAACGTTTGAGACATTTTCGCAACATCGACGAATACCGCCTATAAAGTTACGGTTTGCAGCAGATTTGACAGGAGGCCCCGAAACCTTCGCGGCCAATTTGCCTCGTGTCTTCAAACTCAAATTTTCTAGAGTCGGCACTTAGATTTCAACGGTTCAAGGTGATATCAGTGGCAGAACAGCCAGGCCGCCCAGACACTTCCACCTGCCAAGTCGGCCGTCTTGCCCGTCCGTACTCGAATTCGGCGCTGTGGTATTCGTATTCGTGTGCGCTAAGGGGTTCAGGGTTCGGGCTGTTGAAGGGTGCGATGTCCGGCCGTCGAGCCAACCCAAAGGCATGAAGGTGCTCGCATGGGGGTCTAGTCATGACAGCATTGGTAATTGTTCATGTCACACAAAGCAGGGTGTAAGTCGAGTTGGCTTGACACCATCTAGTCTTGACTAATGGGTAGCTCAATCTTAAAATGGCGGGACACCAGCACCAACAGACTGGTATGAAAGCTCTCAGACACCAAGTCGACAATCCCTCTATTCAGGTTTGCGGGCTAGCGGGCACACCATTCAACGCCGTCAACCCATCGTCAAAGAAATTCCCGTATCCAGACCTGTCAGCTTGTCGATTCATCTAGGTGCCGCATTTCGTTCCCAGGCTGGCGGATAATCCCCACAATCGACAGTGCGCTCCGTTCCGTCCCGCCTTTTCCAGAATCGATCATCCTGGCCGTGTGCGGCTGACGGAACGGGACAAGATAGAGAAGCCGTCCCAGAACTTCGATGGCTAGCCTTATGGGCAGCTCTAGTAGTACGCGTCTTAACGGCATGATATAGAGCGAGCTACGCGGGAACAAAGACTATCACTACCTAGGTATTGAATGTTGACCAGTTGCTGGTCGACAATAGATATGGGAAATCGAGGTATACCCAACGTCCTCGATTCAACCCAATCTTCTGCAAAAAGTATTTTCCGTCGTATGTCGAATAAGAGACTGTTTTGAAGTTGGGTGGACTTCCCGTCTGTGTCGGTAGGTTAGTGGAGCCCTTTCGACAGCCCATGGCGTGGAAAATGGAAAGACCTCAACGACGCACTAGGTTCGAAGAGAACTTTCTTTGATCGTGACTTCCAGGCTACGAAAGTACCAAGAAAATCCTGGATATACGAGTCACATGTCGAGGATGCGTCCTAATTTTGAACCATTGAGCCGTTCAGAGGATCTTGCCCAGCGGTGAGTCGGCAAAGTGGACATGAAAATGGCAACCTATGTGCTGCGTCTTTTGTGCTCAGCTTCGTTCTCAGCTTACATGTGATTCTGATGTGTTCAGTTGAGAGTCTAGGCAAACGATCAGGATGGTTTGACGATTAGAGGCTGCCTCAGATGCTTGGCGTGTGGCTACTCGTACTGACGATCCATACCGGCGCGTCAGCCCGACACCAAGTTCCTTTGAGGAGACTCGAGGTCACGAAGGCATCTATTTTGCATATACGGATTGTTCCAACGACCAAGTGCTTCACACGCACAAGTATAAATAGTAGGCCGGTGACCCTGCAGAGTACGCATAAATCTGGACAGAGCAGCTCTCGATCCATTCGCGAACCAAACACCAATGGGCAGAATGGCAAGAACAGCGTCGTCTCCGCCACTAAGTCCAACGAGATCCTCAGCTTCCTGGGCCGCGTCTTCGAGGCTCAGACCATCGCCCAGAAGGCGCTGCCATCCGCGCGACTGCTCCGTGTCCAGGCCACCCTCCCCGCCGGACCATTCTACCCCGTTACGGACCCGCTGCGTCTGTCGAAGCTGTATGTGCTGTTCGCGGCCGGCGGTGGGGAGTGCGTCACTGTGCGATCGACGGGTTGGGACGAGCGGGCGCCGCCTGTCGTAAAGAAGGGGACGCCAATTCTGGGGCTGCAGACGTTTGCTGTTGAGGACTGCAAGGTCGAAATCACGCAGGCTGACCAGGCTGTTCGCGATCAGGTAGGCACGAAGTCTTTCTTCGAGGTCACTCTGTCGAAGCCGCTTGGAAACCCGCAGGACGGCCCGTATGATCCATTGTATACATTCCAGATGATCGACACCAGTTTGATTTCTGTGAATGCTGTGACCGGGAAGATTGTTGGAAATTCATTCTCTGAAGTTGCCTGGTCTGGGTGTGAGAGCTGTGATGAAGCTGTTGTTTGAAATTTACATGATTATGATTGGTTACCAGTCAGACTCAGGAACTTGATTCAATATGAAGATGCAGTGTTCCAGCCTTTGAGTGTCCAAGTGAGTGAGTTGGTAAGGTACATGTCGCAACTGAAAGAATGTGTAGACAAGCAGCAGAGACTGCGACACTATTGTGTTCTCCTAGACTCAGTGCTAAGCAGGCCCGAACTTTTTGGCAGGGATACACTGATCTTTGAATTACGTAATACTCAGGTACCTAGGTACAGTGACGCCATCCCGTCTAAGAAATATTTTGATCTTGTACAGGTCTGGTCCAAGGAAACACATCCCATGTAAAGCAACAATGTCAGGTCTGCTGTCCCGCGCGACATCCGACTCGCGCTTCCAGCTCGCCGCGACCGCACTGGTGTCTGGAGGCATCGTGGCCGCGGGCCTGCTGAGCTACCAGCGCCTGTCACACGAGCAGAGGGTGTCGAGGCTCAAGGACTCGATACCCAATCCAAGCGACGACCACCCGTTGCAGAAAGTCAGTACACATCCCACACCCGCACATCCGCCTCGATCCGAACACCCTTGACGACGAAGGAGTGCTGATCACTAACAGCACCCCGTGTCCTAACAGCTCACGAGCCTCGGAACGATACCTGCGCCCGACAAGGAAGACATCCGAACCGAGGCACTCGCGCGGCGGGCCCAGGCTGGCGACTTCGACGATGAGCTGATCCTCGAGCAGCTGGCGCGCAACCGCGTCTTCCTGACGCCCGAGGGACTCGACAAGCTGCGCAAGTCCTTTGTGGTCGTGGTGGGATGCGGCGGTGTAGGCAGCCACGCGACAGCAGCGTTCGCCCGGTCCGGGATCTCGAAGCTGCGGCTGGTCGACTTCGACCAGGTCACTCTGAGCAGCCTGAACAGACACGCGGTAGCAACACTGGCGGACGTGGGGCTTCCCAAGGTGCAGTGCTTGCAGAGGCGGCTAAGGGCGATCGCACCCTGGGTCAAGTTCGACCTGCGCCTGGAGAAGTTTGACAGCGACAGTGCCGACAGTTTGCTGGCGCCCTGGGCCGAGGGCGGACAGAAACCGGATTTCGTGGTCGACGCGATCGATAACATCGACACAAAGGTTGCCCTGCTGAAGTACTGCCATGACCACCAGATCGAGGTGATTTCTGCCATGGGCGCCGGATGTAAGAGCGATCCAACAAGGATCATCATTGGTGACATCAGCGGAACCACAGATGACGCACTGTCAAGGGCTACGAGGCGGCGTCTGAAGCTGCAGGGTGTCACGCATGGAATCGCCGCAGTCTACTCGACAGAGAGGACGTCAGATGGCAAGGCACAGCTGCTGCCACTGTCCGACGAGGAATTCCAGAAGGGCCAGGTTGGCGACTTGGGACCGCTGCCTGACTTCCGCGTTCGGATATTGCCAGTTCTCGGGACTATGCCAGCAATCTTCGGGCTGACAGTGGCCAACCACGTTATCCTCAAGATCACGGGTGCGCATCGGACTCTACCCACCATCTTCTCACATAACAAATCGCTGACCAGGAATTCAGGCTATCCATGCGACTATGTCGAGTCCAAGGTATCAGGAAAGACATTTGATTCCCTCTTCTCGGCGATTCAGGCCAACGAACAGAGACTGGTGAGGGCAGAGCCAGGGGCTCCAGCTGATATCGCTCTGGGTCTGAGAATACCCCTGACCCACAGTGAGGTGGCATTCCTCGTCGAGGAGATGTATCGGGGTAGAAGTGTAATCAGTGGCTTGCCAACAAGTCTGTTCCTGATCAGGTGGAGGAAACCTCAAGCAAGCATTCTGAAGACCTTGGGTGATGGCGAAGACCAGCAGAGGTGGACGACCCTTAAGTTGAGTGATCTGGTGTGTGTGACGAAGAAGGAATTCAAGATTCACGAGGAGCAAGTGCTCAAGGGAGGCAAGTCTCCTGAGGACCTCTATGATGCTGAGACGGTCAAGAGGGTCGAGACCAAGATAGCAGAGGTCGCTGAGTACGAGAGGTATAGGTGACAGCAATAGGCCAGGTCTTGCAATAAACCAACAATGACCTCTCGTCATGCCTGAAGTCCAATACCTGATTGGTATTGAAGACCTTAACCCCGCCACTGTTCTTCTCCCACTTCAATACATCCTTTCACCTGAACTGACAGAGGCGAGATGTGCCATTCAATCCCCATCCCGCGTAGACCATTGTCACAGTTGTCAATGAAGCTAGAGCCCAGCTGTCACTATGTGATTACCTATGTATTTCCTCAGATCTGCCGGTTTTGATCCGATGTCAATGTGAATTTTGCATCTTCCACGTGCCCTCGAAACGCATCTAGCGTCAGGATTCCTCAGCTTTTCGAGGTCTTGTATCGCTCGATCGGGTACCTGCAGGCGCGTTCTGCTCACAAACGCATACCAACATCATCATACCTGCCTCCCAAAACACCAACAGTGGATTCCTTTTTGCACATCCTCCCGAAACAACAATATTCTACCGACGACAGAATCATCCAAGCGCAAGTGTCTCATTCTCCCAGACTTTCTTTTAACCTCGAGTCCGTGATGGGTTCTTCAGGTCCTGCCGACGGCGACCCCGTCGTGCTTGACAAGGAAAGCGCGACTGGTCAGTTCGTGCGAACGGCCGTTTGCCTCTCGGCGATCACCCTCAAGCCCTTGACGATTGAGAACATACGGCAGCACCCATCAGTTCAATTGACAGGTAGGCTGCACCTCAGCTATGCTCGTGACCTTGCAGCCTGAAAGCCACGCTCCTTCTGACATGTCAATGGGGGTCTACTGCCCAAATAGCAACTTCTGATTTCTTTCTTCACACTGCGCCCACCAGCTAACCCTGAATCACTATAGGGACAAACAAGCCAGGAATGACGGCAGACCTCGTGGCTATTGTCAATTGGCTTGCCGAGCAGACTGGAGCAGAGGTCGTAGGCAATGTCGTCGAAAGCAGAAATCTCGAGTTCCGCCCCAAGTATCGTCCGTCAACCAAGCAGATTACCCGCAAAGAGATCAAGATTGACCCGGGCTCGATGCTCGCCAGCTGCATGCTGCACTTTCAGACCATCCTCCCATTCCTCCTCTACATCGGAAGCGAAGACCCCGAGAACGGCAAGCCGATAGAGCTGAGACTCAAGGGCACAACATACTCGCCCGGCACACCCAGCTTCGAGTATATCGACCAGGTCTTCCTTCCGGCGCTCCGGGACTACTTTGGTGTCGAAATCATCTGCCAGCTCGTCAAGCGCGGATGGGACCGCATGACCCGCAAGTGCCTCCAAGAGGGAACGGTGCGCTTCAAGATTCGCCCGCGCAAGATCGGAACCACCCTTTCGCTTCGGCCCAACGCCAAGCTGTGCGATGATGAAGACGTGGCAGGATCCGTAGACAGTGTGCTGTCAAATGTTGACGTGACCATCATCACGCCTCCAGTGCTGCATGAACCGCTTCAGGAAAACCTCCAGGGGGACATCGAGGCCCGCTTTGGGAACATCGATGTCAACTTCAAGGTGGAAGAGAGCGGCCACGATGACCGAGTCTACGTGCTTCTCGTGGGCAGGTCTGAGCGTAGGCAGCTTGTGTGCCTCTCCTGTCAAACAATCACTAACTCTTTGACTTGTTAGACTGTGGTTGGGGTCGAGACTACCTGATGACCCAACCCCTGAAAGACACGACACTCCTTGCGCTGAGCAAGGAAATCTCGAGTCAGGTTTGCAAGGATCTGGAAGATGAGGGTGAGTAACAATGTCTGATCAGATACATACTCGGCAACTGTGAGCCCGTGTCTCGCATTGCCATCAACACCGCAACCGCTGGCACCAACGCTGACCCGTGAAACAGTGAATAGAGAACGTGCAGTCGACGTGCACCTGGAAGACCAGCTGGTCATCTACCAGTGTCTTGCCGAGGGTCGGACATGCTTCGATGCATTGACTGCCGGGGAAGCAATTAATCCCGACTCCTCCACGACTCAGCTTTCGAAGGCGGCTGCGCTCGCCCTGCTGCCGAATGCCAGTTTCGACGGCAAGACTTGCATCGGAGCAGGTGTGGTGGTTGGGCAATTCTAATATGGAGGGCGGACTCTCTGAGCACAAAAAGCATGACATGCTGATGCACAATCCAAAAAGGTGCCGACCTTTTGTCGTCGGGCTTTGACATTCACTGCTTCCTTCTTCCCAGGTTCTAATGAGCATTCGTCGTCGTACTTTGCAGCTTGTTTGTCCATCTATGGGACGTCAATGACCTTTCTTTGGCCAATCCTGCCTACTTGTGGCCACTTGGGCAGTCAATTCTTTACCGTGGTGAACAGACGGGTAAAGCACCAGCATCAGAGCCAGCGTAAAAGAAGCAATTAGGGCCAGACTGTTTTGATAGAGTTCAATTGATATTCTACTCATTGATTTCTATTTCACATCCAGGGCCCCCTCCACTGCCGCAGGGAGCCCTTTTGCTCTGGCACGAAAACGCATACAATTATCAATGAGATAATGGCCAGCGTGGGTAGGCCCACAGTGAGTACAATTTGCCAAGGATCCATTTGACCATGTGTGAAATTTCCTCTTCTGGTGATTGAGAAGATTGTTTGGTGGGTGCTCCTTTGGTAAGGCTTTGATCGTGGGAGGCTATTCCAAGTCGAGTTCTTGCCGTCTTTCTGCTTGAGGGTTCCATGGAGGGTTCCTTGTGCTCAAGAATTCAAGCGTCGGGACAATTCCTACCATGCGCTCGCTCACTGCTCTGAAGTGCACTCTTGTGTGACTCGGGAGCAAACCTTAAATGGGACTTGACAAGGTTCTGGCGAGTCGCTTTGCTGTGTCACTAATTGGACATCAGTCATCACCTTCTCCTTGGGTATTCCCTAGCTAGTGATTCCCGGCCGCACTCATCATTGATTTCGGAATCTAGTTGTGTGAGAATGATCTGATTTTGTTCCTGCTGCTTTTCTTGGCTTAATTTGATGAGGTTTGCTCAATTGCAGAGTCCCTGTCCTTACCCAAAAGTGTTGCCGGGAAATAGTTGCTGTGGAACCCACAAGGCCAGCGGGAGCTAAAGTCTAATTAGAAGTTGACGTTTCCATGACAGCTTGTTACATAGACTAGTTTGTCGGCTGGACTCCGGCTTGACACTTTGAATTGTCCTGCGGGCACGCCCACACTACCTTCCTTCAAAGCCATGATGATTGGACTGAACTGCATGTCTGCACCAGAGACTCAATGTCAGCTCTGTTGCAACGGTCACATCCAACCGGGGCCAAGTGGATACCGGGCTCCTTGAGCAGCCAAGGAGCATATCCAGTTTTCGAAGCCTAGAACGCGAGACCGAGGCTGGCCCCCGGGGGCAGATTCCAAGCTGAAAGAGCTTCAATCCTGCTAAGCTCTCTCGGCCCCTCCGTGTAAGGTGGGCGCGCAGGCCGGTTTTTTCTCCCCGAGTGGATGCCACGGCGGACGGGCCAGAGGGTGAGCCAGGACCGAGAATAGGGACACACAGAATAAGTGGGAACTGGACACAAGCGGAGAACACACAAAAACCAAAGACTTCACCGCAACCAACGCCGGGATGGTCTGGCGGGGCGCCCCCGGGGGAGAGACTAGACGGTTCTTTGCAATCTCAAGAGCAATCGAGCGGCTGCCCCCTTTGTGGGCGAGATCAGCCGAGATTCAACCAAAATAGGGGGCGGATTGTTTATGAGGACCGGCGCTCGAGGGAACGCTGCACCGGCCGGAGGCCAGCCAGTGCACCGACTCGCTTCCAGTCGATTGCGCGGTCGACAGCTGAGGCCGCCGCTCCTTGCCCTGCCGGGACTGGCGACCCCGGATCGGCGCCGGTGCCCCTGAGATTGGCGAAAGTCCAGGCGCTGCTCTTGATTTCCGACTGCGAAGCTTGGCCTTGCGAAGGGCGAGGTCGAGGGCGGTCGATGGCGGTCGAGGTCCGGCTTGAGCTGGGAATGAGCAGACCGGGGCCAATGTCGTTGGGGGGACATGAGCTCCATCTGTGGCCCTCTGGTGGTGGGATCTGGCGCCTATTCGCCAGTTTGGCGCGACCTCATGCATCTGCACGGGGATGAGATGGATGATTGCCATGCCAAGGCAGCGAGGTACGGAAAAGAGGGCTGCAGTCCGTGTACTGTCTCTCAAAGTGTCCGCATGAATGCTGTGGCACTTCAAAATCCAACGATGTTCAACGAGGTCGGTGATCGGGTCCAAAAATGACAGATGAAAAGTCGAAACATTGGCTAGATCCTGATAGGGCTGACTGCATGGTCGTTTTCAAAACAAAGTGCGACGTGTAAGTTGGTTGGTCGGGGGCGTGAGGGAATCCATGTCCAACGCAGCCCTTGTCCTCCCCCCGGCCCCGTCACGGTTCGTCCGATGCTGCCCAGGACCAGGTGGCCGCATTTCAGTTGGTTGAGCTGGGGCTACAGAGTCTGGGGCTAGATCGCGTGGGTGCGAAACATTACGTTTTGCTTTGGGTCGTTTGACGGGCATCAAACAATTGATTATGTGAGTTGGGGGGCCACAACATGGCCTAGTTGGGGGTCATGCCCCCCAACCGGCCATCCTATCTGACCCGGTCGAGATGCCAGCCAACCAAGCATAACTTCAACCTTTGACGGACCTCTGGTGGCCTCCGTCTGCTCGCGTCGAAATGTTCTTGCGGCCACGAGAGGGCTTTCCTTTGCGATTGCCCCCATAGGATGGCCACCCTTGAGCTGATCGCTGCAAAAGTGGAAACGCTTGGCAGACCTGCACGCAGGGCCGATGAGTCGCGCCTATCGCCATCCAGCCCAAGTATCCAAAACTCGACGCTCCCAAAAGGCGCGCGTCTATGTGCTTGGCAGCCAGCCCAGCCCATAGGCCTAGCCACATTGTTTGAGGGAGGACCGCCACGGTGGGTTTCTTGTAGTGAGTAGTATGCTCCGGCCCAGTTGGCTGAGTAGCCACTCTGTCTCCGTACGAGGCCTGAGGGCCCTCGTATCGAATATTTAATGTGGACGGAGGCAAGTCTCCCCCCACTTTTACATATTAAGGTGTAATTTTAGTAGCGCCAACGAAACAATCGACATCGACAAGCCGTTACCCCTGTGTCCTATTCCCCGGTGTGCGCCTTTTCAAAGACCTGCGTCCTGGTATAAAGGTTCAGAGCCTCTCCTACTCACCACATACTCTCTCTTCCTGGATACACTCGACCACTCGCAGCTCCACAGCCGACGCATATCACTCTTTATAACCTCCCGGTGGTACACTGTCCATACAGTCCTTCCCGCTCTTTAGCTGCCGTCATTCATTGAAGCTTATCAGCATTCTTTAATCCCATAATCCTTCAAGATGAAGTACTCATTCGCTTCCTGCCTCGCAGTCGCCGGCATGGCGTCGGCCCACTCCTGGCTTGAATGTACCGACCACGACAACACAGAGCTCCTGCCAAAGATGATTGCAGGCTCCAAGAAAATCCCCGCAGAGATCGTCGACCCTGTGTAAGTGCTTCTCCTTCTCCATGGTGCTGTGATCGGAGCAAAGAAATGAAAGAACCCCGTAGCTGACCAGCATACCAAACAGCTTCTTCCCTGAGCTGTGCCGCGGCTGGCCTCGCGCCAAGGCCAACCCAGGTGACTGGATCGACGAGTCCACCAACTTCTCATGGAACATCCCGGCCAAGACCTTCGAGGGCGACCGGTCGGCGTGCCACCCCTCGCAGCGCAGCCCTGGCCAGGAGGCCAACGCGCCGATGGCGACCGTCAGCCCCGGCGGCACCATCAAGCTGAGGTTCGGCGGTAACGGACACACGCGCGGTGCCACCGCCGGCCAGAACAACGACCCTGGCCAGGTCAGCGTGTACTGGGCCGGAGCCAAGGAGACCGAGATCAACACCATCGACGAGTTCACCGACGCCAACCGGATCGCCCAGGCCGGCTTCGCCGACGACTCCTTCTCCTACCCTGATGACAAGAGCATCATCAGCGCCGCCCAGGGCCTCGTTGACAAGGGCAACTGGATGGAGCTCACCATGCCCACCAACATGGAGGCCGGCAGGCACATGATGGTCTGGGTCTGGAGCTTCGACAACGCGCCCCAATGGAGCACATGCTTCGATGTGCAGATCGAGGCATAAAGGGGGCCTGAGGGCCTGAGGAGGAGCGATCATGAGCGATGCTAGAACTGGATGTGGGTCTTTAGACGGAGTCGGCGTTCTTCCAAAAACCTGGGACGGCCATACAGGACATTGCGTGTTTTTTATTCTGAGATTCTGTGCCATTGTTTTGCTTCTTGCTTCCTTGCTGTTCGCTGTTTGAGGCGCGGCGGGGGGTTGTTGGTCGATTCACTGCGTGTCCACTGAGGTGCGAGCTTTGGGTTCAGGAAATCGGGCACGTCCTGCTCGGGTTGTATTTCGTGGGTATTATTGTTCGCATAGCTGAAATACACCAACATTTGATAAAACTGAGCGTGTCGAGGCACAGAAAATCATTCTGGCTCGTAAACTATGAAGATGCCTCCTGCTCTGCGTTGCCTGGACATATTCCAGGTTTATCCTGGACGAGCGGGATGATGATAGACTTCTATCGTCGTTGCAGCCATCATGTGATGGCAAAAACAGCATTCACGAAATTGCCGTGGCTTACCTTGACTTACAAGACCCACGCTTCCGCAAGGTTTTCCGAGGTTTTGCTCTCGTGTAGGTACCCACTCGTACCACTCGGACTTGGTTGGAATTCCGGACACACACGCATTCGTCCCGCAGGCAGAATAGGCACGAATCTCACATCGACATTCTATGGCAGGTCAGCTTTCTTACTTGACAGATTTGCACGGTTGCAAAGTAGCGAGGTAGCCAATTCAACACTGGCTTCGATCGCACTTGCTATGACAAACGATGATCTTTGTAATTGTCAGCTATGCACATAATCATCTGCATACAATCTCCGCATCATGCGACGTACCACCTCAGTCGTCGTCCCTCTGAAATCCTTGACGGCCGCGACCAATCCTGTCTGCCAGACTCCCATTTCCTGCTGCGTTGTGAAGCTTGTGTGCAAACTCCCGGCCTCCATACTTGGATGCTTTTGCTCGGGCTTGGTCATCAGCCTCGCGGTCGGCCTGTTCCTTTTCCGCCAGCGCTGCGAGACGGGCTTCCCTGGCTCTGTCCAGGTCTGTGGCATCATTCTGCATGGCCGCAAGCTTTCTCGCTCTCTCTTCTTCATCGTCGCGGTTGTCGGGACGCTGTGCTCCTGCTCCGTTGAGGTTACGATGGGAGCGTTTCCGATTGGGAGATTGCCTCCTCTCCCTGCCTTCCCTGCGGTCCTCCGAGTCATACCGCCGTCGGTCCGAATATTCTCTCCTCGGGGCCTTTTCTCTGTCCTCTTCCCCAGAGTCGTAACGCCGCGGACCTCGAGACCCGTCTCGAGAGTCTGAACGACGGCTCTTGTGGCGTCTCCCACTGCCCGAATCATCATCATCCCGGCGCGTCGGTGGCGATCTGTCTCTCGAATCTGAACGCCTCCTCTTGTGACGTCTCTCAGAGTCTGAATCATCGTCATACCGCCGTGGACTGCGTGATCGTTCTCGTGAGTCTTCTCGTCGGCGCCTGTGACGCCGTTCGCGATCAGGGTCGTCATCGCGGTGACGGTGATGGGACCTGTGGCTGCGATGTCTGTGCTCCCTATGCTCCCTGTGCTTTGATTTGGGTTTCTCTTCTATAATGCCCCTCTCTGCTAGAAACTGCCGGCGCTTAGCAGGATCCTTAGCCATGGCCGAGTAAGCCTCTTGTTGCTGCCTCTTGATCGCCACGAGAGGATCTTCTCGGATCTTGGCAGCCGTGTCTCGCGCGGAGGCAATGATCGGAACAGGCCCGGGTGTTTCGCCAGTTGGTCCTGCCGTCTTCTCCACCTTTTTCATGTCGTCCCCTCGGAGGACGGAGTCGATGCGTCGCTTGCCGAGTAGGAATGCCTCGCTCGAGTATTCGTCGCGCCCGCCATCGTTTGGGCCTTGGTACATCCATTCAACACGGTCGACCTTCTTCTGTCCTCCCGCAGCCTCGAGCTGCTTCTGTGTCTCCTCAATCTGTCGCTCGCGCCTGATCTCCTCGAGTCGGGCTTCGGTGAGCTTCCGTTCCTGCAGTGCAGCCTGTTCGGCGTCGTAGACCCGCCGCTGGTTGGACATCAACTGGGGATGCCATGATTTCTTGAGGTTGAGGTCGTTGCCTCCCATTTTGACGAAAAAAGCGTGTGGCCTTGTGATGTAGTAGGTGGGTGGATGAAGGCGCTTTGTGGATGGCTGTAAAGTAGGGCAGGCGGAGAAGTTGGCAGGGACAAGAAAATGAAGGTGGCGGAAAAGTCAAGGCAGACAAAACAAGAGTGGGCCGTGCACCGCGTTACCTCCGGTGCCATCTAGCAGCAGCAGCAGGCGGTGATAAGGCCCCCAGCTAGCCGACCGCAAGCTTGCTTGCTCCCCTCAGCCTTACAATGTTGCACGGGCCCTCACTAAGCTGGAGTTAGCTGCTCTCATCCCCCCACAGAAGGCAGCATCCATTGTGTGAACGTCCATCGATCGTTTGCAACTTCATCCACATCCAGACTTCCTCACCAGCAGAACATTCACATTGCAATACCTACACTTTGACTCTCCACTTGACTGCTTTATCGCTACGCACTTTGCATCATCAGGACGCCTGCCAGGACCATCAACATGTCGGACGACGACTTCATGCAGGAGTCCGATGAGGAGTATGACTTCGAGTACGATGACGACGATGACAACGAGGATTCTGGGGATGTTGACATCGAAAACAAGTACTACAACGCCAAACAACAGAAAGTTACCGACCCCGAAGATGCAATCAAGGAGTTCCTGGAGGTACCAAGTCTGGAGCAGGAGAAGGGCGATTGGGGCTTCAAAGGCTTGAAACAGGCCATCAAGCTAGAGTTCAAGCTGCAGCGTTACGATGAGGTTTGTCACGGACGGCGCATGAGATCGCATCACGCTGACCATTTCTCAGGCCATCAAACACTATGCGGAGCTGCTCACCTACGTCAAGTCCGCCGTCACGCGGAACTACTCAGAGAAGTCTATCAACAACATGCTGGACTACATCGAGAAGAGCTCCGACGCCAAGGGAGCTGCACTGTGTATGGAGAAGTTCTACTCGCTTACTTTGGAGTGCTTTCAGACTACCAACAACGAGAGACTGTGGTTGAAGACCAACATCAAGCTCGCCAAGCTCTTGCTAGACCGCAGGGAGTACCCATCCGTCAACAAGAAGCTGAAGGAGCTCCACAATGCTTGCAAACGCGAGGACGGCAGCGAGGATTCCAGCAAGGGCACCTACCTGCTCGAGATCTACGCCCTCGAGATCCAAATGTACGCCGAGACCAAAAACAACAAGCAGCTCAAGCTTCTGTACCAGCGCGCTCTAAAGGTGCGCTCGGCCGTGCCCCATCCAAAAATCATGGGCATCATTCGGGAGTGCGGCGGCAAGATGCACATGAGCGAGGAGAATTGGAAGGACGCGCAGTCAGACTTCTTTGAGTCTTTCCGTAACTATGACGAGGCTGGAAGTCTGCAACGCATTCAGGTCCTCAAGTACCTGTTGCTCACAACCATGCTGATGAAGTCCGACATCAACCCCTTCGACAGCCAAGAGACGAAACCGTACAAGAACGATCCGCGCATCGCCGCAATGACGGAGCTGGTGGACGCATACCAGCGTGATGACATCCACAAGTACGAGAGTGTCCTCCAAAAGAACCAAGACCTGCTGGCCGACCCCTTCATCGCCGAGAACATCGACGAGGTGACGCGCAACATGCGCACCAAGGCTGTCCTCAAGCTCATTACGCCTTACACGCGAATGCGCCTCTCCTGGGTCGCCAAGCAGCTGCGCATCAGCGAGGCTGAGGTGCAGGACATAATGGGTTTCCTCATCATCGACGGCAAGATCAATGGCAAAATTGATCAGCAGACGGGCGTCCTAGAGATCAACAACGACCGCGACGCGGAGCGCATCGGCGCCATCCAGCACCTGTCCGAAGCGCTTGCGGAGCTGTACACGACCGTCTTCAAGGACGGCGACGGCTTCCGCACCTCGGACACGACCGTGGCTAACGATGCATCGGACCTGGGAGGTGGTTTCTTCGAGTCTGCAATGGGACCACGTCGCGAGGGAGGCAGAGCCACCGGCGGTGGCCCGAGGGCTCGAAGGGTCCCCAGGGACACGTTTGGCCCGACTTAGGCTGTCTTGTCTGAGTTCTTTCGGTGGGGTACGAGATGACCTGTTCATAAGCAGGCCTTCTTTAGGTGATTTGTCCTCAAACAAGATGGTCGGGGTCCAGAAAGCACTGCATTTGGTCGTCTTCCGTCGGGTAGTAGCATATCACAAAGGGAGCACGTTGTCATCACGGCTTTAGTTCCGACAGAATTCGAGCAGTTAACCTCCTGAAATAGAAAGCCACACATCAATACACCCCGGGACGTCGGCCCGCCTATGACATGCACAGTGACGGATGATTGGCGCCGCGCCGCACCGGGCGACGGGACTTTTACACCTGGCCTGCTTGGCCTGCGCATTGCCGTTATCAAATATCGAATGCAGGAACCTGCAAGGCCACACCCCATTGCAGCGCGCTCGCCCACCGCTCCTCACACACTTCACGCCCTTCCGACGAACGGAGGGAGCGCTGCTGCGACCGCAGGCTCGGCCTGCACGGCAAGTGCCAGCGGAGGAATTCCTAACAATCTAAATGCGACTCGTATCCCGTCCTGTGGCTGAGAGATGCGGGCAGGGGGGCTGCACGGTAAGAGGCTCGCATTCAACGCAAGAGTCCCTTCCCTTCTGCTGATCATCGTCTACTCGATGCGGATCAAATTACCCCGGTTGGTCGAGGGCCCAAGACCGAGTGCTGTTTTGGGAGCTGACGACGGCCCCAAAGGGGCACAATATACGGACGTCCCCATTGACCGACCTGGAAGCAGCACTGATCAACACCGCATGAGCATGATGGGAAATCTCCCGAGCGATTGACATATGCAGACCTACACACACGCAGGCGTGCGCGCACACACATACACACACACACGGATGAAATCCAACGCGAGAGTAGAACGCCAATGCTATGATTCCAGGAATTACATTACGTCCCGGCCCGAAGATCACAGTCGACCTGGCCATAATTACAAACTGCCTGCCTTGCCTTGCCCGCCTTACTGTCACCCCCCGTTTCCCAAAGGAGAAAAAGAAAAAGAGATAACCCCCGGTAAATAATTTTCCTCGCCCTAGAAGTACTCTGGAAAGACAGAAGAACGAAACCAGGACCAATAAAAAAAAGACATTGACCACGTCCGCCTTGCGCAGGAAAGGCAACGTCGTCTGAAAATGCATAGTCAATCACCGCTCGCCCCGTGGCCGTTCCCCCCGTTTGCTGCGCTCTCCGAGAACGACCCCCTGGTTTTTTGATCTTTGCAATGGGAAAGCGCCATGTTTCGCTTGTGTGTGCCGATTGAAACCCATGCCATACTGTCTGGGGCACTCACATCCTCCCTTCCTTCGTCTGCTGCCGTGCCGCTTCCTCTGCCTGCCGAATCCGTAGCTCAGCGTATCCCCCAACGCTGGATCCCATTCTAGAAGCCCCGCGTGTTCTCGTCTGGTCAACACCCATTTATCGGCGGCAGTGCTTGTGGCTCTTGACCCTCGACCGCCCGCTCTGTGATTGTCATTTTTCATTCTTCGCCTCCCCGTGGCCTGTACTGTCGTCGGATGAAGAATGACCCGCCTTGTGGTGGCCCTTTTTCTTCCCTGGCCGCTCGCACCTCTCGATCCAATCATCGTAGCCAGGTCTGTACTCTTCTGGCTGGAAATTAGGGTTGTTGTAGTGAGCGGTGTTGAAATGTGAATTCTTGAACGTGTTCGTCTGCAGTGGTTGCTCCTGCCAGGCATTTGCATCCATCGGCTCCTTGTACTGATACTCACTGAAACGGATCTCGTGGGTTGTTGACGGCCCAGGTATCGGCTGCGTCGATAGCGAAGTCTGCTGCGTTGATTGGGTCTGTGCCGGAGGAGTGGGTGATGAATCTGCGTATGGTGAAGAGAACCACGGCGACTGGGGACTGGATGGGTAGTCTAGCGAAGGCCCTGTTAACTGCCCCATGGAAGAGATCGGTCCGACTGCTCCAAAACCTGGTATCAAGGCTAAAGGATTCGCCAGGCTGAATGTGTCTTGAAACTGCGGGCCAACACTATCGTGATAGGTCGGCGTGTAGGCCATCCGGTTGACCTGCAGAGAAGTTGTCGTCGTCGGCTTGTATAATATGTCGTAATGACCTGGGCGGTAGAGAAGATGAATAAAAGGGCCCATGTTGTTGGGGTCCCCGTCAGGGAAGCGGTGGGTGTTGACCTGGCTACCCTGACTGCGATCGAGGTAGGCGATCTCGAGAGTGAACCCAGCGGGTTTCAGCAGGACCTCGACCAAAAGGACGACACCCAGCTCTTCGATCTCGCGCTGTGATGGCTCAATCACTGTCTGCGCGTAAGTCTCGGGATCAGCCTCGCACCATCCCGCGTATTGATCGCGGTTGCCCCTTAGCCACGCCCCTGCAAGCAGCCGAAGGTGGAACAATATGTTCATTGAGGATAAATCGTTAAACTTGGTGGTCAGAACGGCCATGGCTGTGTCATGGTCGTGTATGTTGTCGGATATCTGCTGGAGGAGCTCGAACGTATCTTCTACGAAGTCTACGAACAGATCAGGGTCGTAGTTGCCGCTATTTACGAGGTAGTCATTCAGTTGTGTAAGGCGCAGACGCTCCCCGTCGACAAGCTCCTGGCTACCCTGCTGAATGAGCAGTTCGAAGTAGCAGAAACCAATAGCTTTGAAAAGGTCAGCAACTGTACAAGTCGATGTCGCACAAGGGTGATGATGTCCACGGGAAGGATGCTGATGATGTGATCGCAGATGAATTTGACCCGGAATACTGCATTTGGAAAGGTCCTTGCGTGACAGGGCCAGGGGTTTTGAGGGGGGGGGGGGGGTTGCCGGAAGCTGATCTGGCGAGATTGGAAGAGCTCTAGCTTACCTCTCCACCCACAGTTGCCGTCTCCTTTGACGGGCCTGTAATGTGAGTATGTTTGGGGCAGAGCCTAGGGAGACCGTCAGCATTGGTACGACGCTGCCATGTGATTACTAGCACTGCGAGCTTTGCCACAGCGGGGACGCTAGGAGGGAGGCTCACCATTGTCTTGTCGACATAGATAGGGTCGGCCTTTGCGTACTGCTCTGTGATGGCAGTAATGCTAGTCCTGTCGCCGAGCAGTGGCCCCTGTGTGGATCCCAAGTAGTTAGCCGAGGAAGCTCCCCAGACCTGCAGAGTTGCAGGTTGCAGAGCTGCGGAGCTGCGCATCAAGAGCTGTCAAGGGCTGGGCGGGAAAAGAGAAGAAGAAGGGCGGAATGGAGAGGAAGCGATCGTACCTCAACCTCAGGCTCCCATGTCCTGGCTGCAGCCTCCTGAGCGGCAAAGTCGTCGGGCAGGCTTTGGTTCTGCTCCATCTTGACGTTGGATGTCGCACGGCTGATGGGAGAATAGCTTTGTTGCTGATGCTGCTGTTTGAGCGACGGTTGTTGCCGGTGGTCAAAGAGGCTGGGAGCTCCAGATTGTTGATGTTGATGTAGAGGAAGGGTGCTGTGGAAAGGGAACACGGGTAGCGGGGCAGGGCGGACGACGTTGACAGGGACCCCTGCTGCCCCGCCATGAGCATCATGGCATGAGCCGCCGGCTGGCCCAGGACCACTTGCAGGGGGCCCCGGCGCCCCAGCCTGAGGCCCAGGCCCAGCCAGGGACAGAGAAGCAAAGGGCACCTGTGGGTAAGTGCTGTACCCGGACGCCTGCACGCCCTCAAACCCGCCGCTCATCCCATCATCCTCAACGCCGACGGGCAGGTAGGCGGGATAGAAGGACGAGTACGGTGTCGGCTGCGGCTGGAACATGCCTATTCGAAATCCGAGCAGGGGCAACGCGAAGAAGGATCAGCTTCGGAGCAGACCAGACAGAACCAGACAGAAAAGACCAGAGCAGCCCAGTTAAGGACAGTCGAAGGCCAGGTCAATTAGATGGAGCAATCAGGCTTGTCAACCACTGTGTCTTGATTCTCTCTGTCGACCGTTGAACAAGTGTCTTGTGGCATGCAGCTGTCGTTGAACTACCGCCGGGACGACCGATCAGCGACTGGATGTTAGTCCCTCTGCAAGAGATGTCGTCAGTGTTTACTCTCTCACTCTCTCACACGTACAAGCGCACACGCAAGCACAAATGACAGAAGAGATGGCACGAAAAGGAGAGGGGAAAAAAAAAGCAAGTCACGACCAGAGGTGCGGACAGTGCAGCGCGACAGATGTATCATAACATTGGGTTGAACGTACGGCCGTTGAGCAAGACCTAGGGAAAACAGCCTCCGTGAAGCGGTTGTGATAGATCCCGACCCGGGAGAATTGTCAAGACGTAGAGATCCTCATGTGCGTGGTGTGACAGGAGAATGGTTGGAGCCGATCTCAGGAAGCAGTATGTTGAGAGATAGAGTTGCCTGTCAGACGGCGGGCCAGGCCAGGTCAAATTTGATAGAGTGAAAGGAAGAAAAAAACAGATAGATAGACAGATAGATAGATAGTTGGTGGTCAGGGCAGGAGTGTCGGCTTGCAAGTCGCTCGGCGCCACAACAATGGCGAGATAGAGGCAACCACACCCCAAGTGAGAGCAGCCGAGGCCGGAACGTTGTCGACGGACCGCGCGGCTTTGGTTCGAATGTCGGGGGCAAGGACGGTGTGCGAGGTCAGAGTGGTAGAGCAGGTCGGGCTCTGTTCGAAGGTGACACGGTGACGGTGATGGTGACGGTGGGGCCGAAGGATAAATACGGTGCTTATGTGTGCAGCAAAGCACACGAGTTTTGACAGCCTCTGTGGCCTGCTGGCTGTCTAAGTCGGTCCAAGGATCTCGGTAGTGCTGACTGTTGTGAGTCGTGAGGAGGGTCAAGGGACACCACAAAACCACGACCCCAGTAAGTACTCGAATTAGACGGAGCAGATACCTGCGAGCGGCACAGGCACACTGAAGATCCGATGCGGAACAGGTAAGGTGGGCACCAGAAGCTATGCAGGAGGGCAGGAGATTGTTGATATTGGGTCTAATTGAAGACTATGAGAGGCCACGGCCCAAAGAAATCCAAGTCCAGAAGAAATTTTGGGATTTGGGGTGGTTATACGAAGGAGTTGGGGGAGAGTGTGAGGAGCCAAGCGTCCTTGACTGCTTCACATCTCTTTTTTACCCCTCTTCCACATTGCCTGCTGCTGCAGCATGCAGAGACGGAGAGAGACATGGAGACAGAGAACGAACATCCCAACCCATCCCATCTCATCAAACCCCGAGCAACGCGACGACGCACTGACCCGCGGGAGTAGCCAGTGAATCGACAGGGAGCCTCCAGGTTGGGAGCGTCAATGACTGGAGGGATCAGCTGGCAAGGGGGCAGCAAGCTCTCTCTCTGGTCAGCGACGGGCTGGGCTGGATGGGCCGATGCTGGTGCTGGTGCTGGTTTGCTGGTACCGGGAAGGGAAGGGTGTCGATAGAGCAGTGTGCGTCTGGTGGTGTGTCTGTCTGGGTCTGGGTGATCGCCGCGGGCCAAGAAAGGAGCCCTGTCCATGGTGCGGTCTCGTCTGATGAGCATGCCCAGATGCCAGATGGCCGCTGCCCGCGGCAGCTCCACAGCCCTGAGCCAGAGGCCGAGCCTGCGTCCGATGCCTGTCCCGGGAATCTCTAGCGGAATTGACGAGGGACGCTCGGCTGGGGAACCCCTGGCTGAGCTTGCTGGCGTGTGGGAGCTCTCCTGGTCAGAGGTTGTCGGAGCGAGACGTCGACAGTAACCTTGGGACTGCTGGACGCCATGAGAATAGTGGACGGCGGCCGATAAATGGCCAGCCAATCTGGAACGCCAAAGCACTTTTCTCGGCCGTGTGTGAATGTGTTAATGTGTGTGAGTGCTTACTTATGCGTGAGTGACTATTTGTGTGTGTGTGAGTAGTGAGTGTGTGTGTGGATGCAGAGGACCAGTCGACTTGGCAGCTCGAGGAATGTTTCCTGGAGAGGGCTCTCTGGTGAGGGTGACGGCGACGGTGACAGTGATGGAGGTGGTAGTGGAGGAGGTAGTGGTGGTGATGAAAGGTGCCTCATAGCCAACTTCCTTTCTTCTCCCTGTCCGTCCTCTACCACTGCTGCTGCTGCTGCTACTACTACTACTACTGCTGCTACTACTACTACTACTGCCACTGCTCCTCCTGTTGCCATGGCTGGCTGGCTGGCTGGCTGGCTGGCTGGCTGGCTGGTCCAGCTTTCAGCTCGCAGACTGCTTCCCCCCCGCCGAGTGTGGTCGGCCCAGTCAATATCGAATCCCTTCCCCTACTTGGGCAGGTAGGGTAAGGCCTAGCTAGCCATGTCCAGCAATCTCGGCAACTCGACGACATTCCAAAAAGTCGAGCATTGCCTGGGTCGGCTAGTGCTCAGGTTAGCTGGTTAGTGGGCGATCCTTCCATCCACACGTGCAAGGTCCTTCTTTTCTTAGGCCCGGCTTAGAGGGGTGCCGCCAGAACGGGGGCAGGCAACGAACCTGGCAACTGGGCAGTCAGGCAGTCGCAGTCAGGCAGTCAGGGCAGTCTCTGGTCGTGATTGCTGCTGCTTCAGGTTTCAGAACCCACACCCCTCTGGCTTAGCCTCTGACCCTGCTGCCAGTGCCTGCGATCCCAGCACGATCCCCATGAAGTCCGCGTGTCCGCCTACTCCGCCCTTGTTTCTTCGTCACCTCCCATCATCGTGTTGCTTGACTTTGATTGAACCGTGGAAGCAGATGAAGAGACGCGAGGAATCTGGTTCCGTCATGATTCATTATGCGTAAGCTTCCTGGTTTATTCCCGCTTCGCCGCGCTCGGGGTTGAGGTCTCTGTCTGCCTGAGCGCCACTGTCACGGTCGCATTCATGCAACTCAATACCCCGTAACTCTGGTACAGATTGACGCGCCCACTCCAGTCCGGTCTTCTCCCCCGATTCAATCGCCAATTCACCCAAGCTCGATCGCCATTTCAGCCGTGCGCCACGGTTGCCCGTCTTGTCATCCTGGCTCCTGGCTCCTGGCTCCTGGCTCCTGGCTGGCGTCCATCGGCACGGAACGTCCATCTGTGCTCAGTGCTGGCGTGGCGCCAACCAAACCAGACTGCCAGACCGAGAGCCCAGACAAGACCACCTCGAATCCAATCCACGATTCAACGGTGCAATCCGCCCCGCAGGAGACCGAGACGAGAAACTCAAAGGGATCACGGACGATGGCGCGACAGTGCTTACCTAGGGTGCCTAGGTCCTCATGTGGGCCGGCCTTTGCCTACTTGCATGCGCACCACAGTAACCGTACAATACACCTGTGCACACAGACACAGCCGAATGGATATCTTCCACCTTGTCACCTTGCCTTGCCTGTATGGTAGATCCCGGGAAGCTCCCGCTCTTCCCGATACCAGACGTTTGAGCAGCTGCACAGCACCCAGCTACTCGTCTCATTAATACGCAGAGCTCTATGCTTGCAGTCTCGCGGCCCCGTCATGCACATCACATCACGGCGCAGGACAGCACAGCACAGCAGAGCAGCCACATACAGATATCATCTTGCAGAACGTGGGATCAAAAGCACCCCCAACTTATCGTTATCACCTCATAGAGAATAGTCACCAATGGTTTACGCCCGGGCACATCGACAGTATGCACGCTTTTCCGCCTCCACTGCGTTCCGGAGAACAACATCACCTATCCTGTATGCTGCAGTCGATTGTTCTCTGGTTCCTTGGTTCACCAGCCAAGACCACTTGCCGTATACCTAGCTGTATCGAATGCCACTATGCGGGCCCGGGCGAGACAGACCTTGGTAGGGCCTCGCCTCTCAGCCAATGCTGTAGGTCCGTCACTTTGATAAGCACAAAATTTCTCGCCAATGCAGGAGACAGCTATGGAGAGACATTGTCTGCTCGGGAGACCCCTGACAGATCGACTGCATTCGGTAGACTATTAAACGACAACCAGAAAGCCGCAATGCGATTTGACCTGGACAGTTCAAGGATAAGCTTCGCTGCAACTCGCTTCGCTGCTGCACGGTTTGCGATGCCACGGCTGGCGTCGGTCCAGCGATTTTTCCAGAGGAAAGGGGTGGGGGGCGTCTAGCAGCGGGAGACCCGAGGTCTTGACATGGCCTTGTGGCATCTCCCTCGTGTCTCCCAATGTATCCTGCACGGGTCGGACAAAAACACCAAGCCTTTCAGGCAAACAAATCCCACCAAACGCAAGCCACGCATAGATTTGAACAGCACACAGTAGAACAGGACTTCAGCCGGGCGGTGCTAGCCTGCCTCAGGGAGGGGGACGCAACGCCGGCACTGGTGGTTACACGAAGCCACCACGCCATCTCGTCATCTCTGAGATCTGACAGATGCACGCTGGGCGATTGCAAGAGGCCAGGAGGCTCTTTTGCGGCGGCTGGGTCGAAATTCACACCCGCTCGCTTCCGTGGTGTGTGGCCCAGCCGTGTGCGTGTACCCCGAGCGAGGTCATCAGGCTTGCGGGATGGAACTTCACGCATACACCTTGTGGCCTCGTGACACGATCTGACTTTGACAGGAGAGTTGCTTGACATGTCTCGGACTGCTACTGCGAGGCGCCACCTACACACACACACGCACACGCACACACTCTCTTCCATACACGCACACATACACATACAGAGGACACACAAGATTCTTGTGTTGATAAGCCGGCTGGCCTAGCCTGCCGCGCAAACCGTCGGAGCAAGTCTACGGTGCCCGCCAGATATTTGCATCCCTGGATCGGCCTCGGCAGGAACAGCCCCATCGCATCAGAACGGGTCTTATTCGTTTGGCTCGTATGTGACTTGTATGGTGCTGTG